CCACGCGGTGGTAGTAATTCCACAGATGGGGATACTCCGTTGAGGACAGGATCGATGCCTTGTGCTGCTGCATATCCCTCAACAACGGCCACAGTGCACAGTCATCAACGCCAAACGCCGCTCCGGAGATGTAGTGGTGTCCGTGACTCTGCTCCTGTTCTTGCAGCATCTGCTCCCACAATGCTAAATCACTAAAATCTTTCACATTGCCTCTGCATCGTCGCCAGCTTGCCGTCAGTTCGGCAATCTGTTCCAGTTGCGATCCCCCGCGGAGGATGTCCACTCCTGGTCTGGGGCTTTCATTCAACTGCGCCAAATACGAGAGAATGTCAATATCGCCTGTCACAGTGGTCTTCCCGTCGGGACTGACGTAGACCAGCTGACCAGTAGAGCTGGGGCCTTCTGTCTCGTATCGCATCCCATTCTCTGTCAGAGCGAGCTGCACACGCATATCTGCCACCGGATCGCCGCTGAGGACCAACCGCGCCACAGCCGGCGTCACAAAATTGACCACGTCAAACCCTCCGCCATACACCGCATCCCAGTCGAAGTCCGTGTCGCGGTTCTCCCGCCCAAACGCCTGGATCAGTCGCTCCGTTTCGGCCGCGTCGCCATGTATCACCGGGCGGGCGGCGCCTTCAGTCTTGGCCACCGCGCCCTGACCCCAAATGGTCTGCTTGGTCGGATGGATGAAAGTGCCGATGGAGCGGAACGTCAGCGAGATACGCTCGCCGTTAAAGGCCCGCTCTTCGGCCGATTTGGCTTCGTCAGGACGTTTGTCTGCGCGGATTCCGTGCAGCCACCGCATGTTGGTCTTGGGGCCCAGGACAAACACCGAATTATGTGGCATGGGTATTCGTTGCGTCTGACGTCCAGCGCCACTGCTGCTGTCGTCCTCAGCTGTCTCCGTGCCAGACGCTTTGGTCCGCAGAATCATGGTCCGCTGCGCCCCCAGGCTGACGTTGCAGATGGAAGTACCACGAACAATGTCAAGCGTCTTATCCGAATGTTCTGAGATCCGGTCCTGCCCGCTTCGATACAGTTGGATGAGCACATGGTTCAGCGAATGCCCGAGGATGCCTTCGACGACTTGGCGAATGCGGTCCACCGTCGGGGTGAATGGGAGCAACGGCGGCGACTCATCCGCTGGATGGCGATAGATGGGGATCGAGCCGTCCGGCAGGACAGCGCCCTGGACAGCCACAAGGCGTGGCACCTGTCCTGACAGGTGGTACATCTTCTGCCACTGCACCTCCTGGCGGATGTTGGGAAAGGCGTCTGGCGGCAGGTCCACATTGTAGATGATGCGAGAGTCGCCCTCCCCGATATGATCGCCGGGTCCGAGCATGCCATCGGCCTCTGTCTTCTTCTTATTCTTTGTTGTTTTTGGCGTTGTTGTTGTTGTTGTTGTTGTCGTCGACGCCGTCGGGGGTGGAGTGGAAGGAGCAGCAGTGGGAGCAGTCGTGGTGGTAAGGACGGGGGAAGTCGAGGATGTCCGTCCGGAATTGGATTCCGCCGCGCGAGATGAGCCCGGCCGACGGGCGGAAGGCGGAGAGTCGGCGGGCCTCCGGGGACGGCGGACGCGAGTGACGGGTCTGTAGACGGTTCCCCCCGGGTGGGTCTCCCGCGAAGGGCGGGTGGAGGACCGTGGATACTTGGAGGGAGGCAGCAGCCAGGGTTCCTTATCTGAACCGTCGGCGTCCAAGTCAGGGTCTGCCTCGATCACCGTCGCCGCAGCCGACAGCGACTCGACGTGGCGCAGGCGCGCGGGGTCACGGGGTTGTGGGGGATTGGGAGGCGGAGAGCCCTTGACGGCGAGATGGTCCATGACACCCTCGATTCCGGCAGATGTCGTCGCGCGGGATCCCAGGCGGGGATGAGACCGTCCTGGTCGTTGTGCCTTTTCCTGATCTTGTCCCGGAGAGGAGGCATGGGCAATGTCGTGAGTCTCCTGCCATTCCTGCTCCTCGAGCAGCTCCTGGACAGAGATGCCGTTCGCACCCATGATATCAGCCATACGACGGATGGCCTCCTCGTGTCGAGCAAAACTGCGGAAACCCAGACAGTCTTCTACCAGAGTCAGCGAGAAGCCCTGACGGGCGGCATCGAGGGCGGTAGCATAGACGGAGACATTGGACAGGCTGCCACAGAGATACAGTTCGGTGACGAAGCGTGAGCGCAACGAGAGCACTAGGCCGGGCGACTGCAGGGCCGAGTAGTCCGACTTGACGATGACAATGTCGTTCTCGGGATCGACGGCGGCGACGATCGGGGCAGGGAATTGAGCACCCGACGTCTGGGCACGGCAAGCCGGGTCTGGACCGGACAGAAAGGCCTCGGGATCGGTATCATCCTCGTTCTCCGTCTCTTGTCGATCCCGCCCTGCCTTCTTCTTGTCTTTCTTGCTGTCGAGCGGTCCGGCATCGAGGACGATGCGCTCGCCGCCGCTGTCCGGGTCGACGAGGGGCCGCGAGTCCTCGTACTGCGTGCGGACCCAGACGACATCGCCGGTACGACGAAAGCTCTGGACTAGCGTGGGGATGAGATCGATGAAGTCCTGGGTGTTCTGGACGGGGAGACGGCCGGACGGGCGGACGAAGTCATTCTGGAGATCGAGCAGCAGCAGGGCTTTGCGGGTCTGGATGGAGGGGCCACGAAGCAAAGAGGAGGGGAGGGCCGTGGCGCTCATGATGTTGGCCTCATGGTTTTGTTTTAGTCGTAGACTTTTTCGTGCGGGGCGTGGAGAGGACGCAGAGGGCGACAGACAGTGGCATACACACGGTGGGGACCGCCAGAGACGAGGCAGGATGCACGCGAGGAAGGAGATTGCGCTGTCAAAGTGGGATGGATACTGGTCTCGAGGGGAGGTGAAACGGCGTGATGATTGTGCTCAGTGGCCTGGACGACGAGACGAGTCACAGCGAGGATCCGAGTGTCTGGAGCAGCCGACGCCGCTAGCGCAACCACTGGCTGAGCGCCTCCGCCATCACTGCGCGCCGAGACGACGCCTCCGGATCGCGAACACAGCACTGCAGCTGCCAGTCTGCTGGAGATCTGCTCTTCTTGAGTTTTGACAGCTGCTCAGCCGCGGTTCGTGTCGTCGATTGGACAGCGCGCTGCTGCCCGTGATTGGCGGGCGAGGCACGGCGCGCTGATTGGTGCGGCTCCGACATCGGCGGCGGCTGCCGACACCGCACTAACTCCGCGGAGACCCGGCCCAACTCCGGCCGTCACCTGACCGCCCAGCCTGTGCGGGAATGCAGCCTCGTCCAGCTTACTATAAGTGAGAGAACTTCCTCTCCTCCAGTTTTCAATTCGAATCGAATATTTCCAATTCCACTCTTCCATCCATCGCCCACAATGGCCTCCAAGACCCTGCCCCGTGCCCTGCGCCTGTCGACCCGCGTGGCCGTCCCCCGCCGCTCCCTGGTCACTGCTGCCCGGGCTCGCCCGGCCCTGGCTGCTGCTCCGGCTGCACGCAGCCCGGTGGTCGTGCCTACGCGTGGTGTCAAGACCATTGACTTTGCCGGCACCAAAGAGACCGTCTACGGTGAGTGCTTCTGCAGAGGGAACTACGATTGGAGCTGGTTTTTTTTTTGTTCTACGGCAGCTGACTCGAACAGAGCGTGAGGACTGGCCTCGTGAGAAGCTCCAGGAGTACTTCAAGAACGACACGCTCGCCCTCATCGGCTACGGCTCCCAGGGCCACGGCCAGGGTCTCAACCTGCGTGACAACGGCCTGAACGTCATCGTCGGTGTCCGCAAGGATGGTGCCTCGTGGAAGGAGGCCGTCCAGGACGGCTGGATCCCCGGCAAGAACCTGTTCGACGTGACCACTGCCATCGAGAAGGGCACCATCATCATGAACCTGCTCTCCGACGCCGCCCAGTCCGAGACCTGGCCCACGATCAAGCCCCTGCTGACCAAGGGCAAGACCCTGTACTTCTCCCACGGTTTCTCGCCCGTCTTTAAGGACCTCACCAAGGTCGATGTTCCCAAGGACATCGATGTGATCCTCGTCGCCCCCAAGGGCTCTGGTCGTACGGTGCGCTCGCTCTTCCGCGAGGGCCGCGGTATCAACTCGTCGATTGCCGTCTACCAGGACGTCACCGGCAAGGCCAAGGAGAAGGCCATTGCCATGGGTGTCGCCATCGGCTCGGGCTACCTGTACGAGACGACCTTCGAGAAGGAGGTGTACTCGGACCTGTACGGTGAGCGAGGATGCCTGATGGGCGGTATCCACGGCATGTTCCTGGCGCAGTACGAGGTGCTTCGGGAGCGCGGCCACTCGCCGTCCGAGGCCTTCAACGAGACGGTCGAGGAGGCGACGCAGTCGCTGTACCCGCTGATCGGCGCCAACGGCATGGACTGGATGTACGCGGCGTGCTCGACGACGGCCCGCCGTGGCGCCATCGACTGGGCTCCCAAGTTCAAGGAGGCGCTCAAGCCGATCTTTGACGAGCTGTACGACAGCGTCAAGGATGGCAAAGAGACGAAGCGCGCGCTGGAGTACAACTCGCAGAAGGACTACCGCGAGCGCTACGAGAAGGAGATGGAGGACATTCGCAACCTGGAGATCTGGCGTGCGGGCAAGGCCGTGAGGTGAGTCGAACCATCGGCTGTTTAATTAACCGTGATACTAACGGATGTAGATCTCTGCGCCCTGAGAACCAGAAATAAGAACCAGAAATAAGCTTGCTTATGATTTTCCTTTTTTTTTTACCTCTCATGTAATGTAGATACGCGAATGAATCAAAAAAGAAGTCGTTTGTTATGAATCTTGTACTTTTACGGATAGGCATGCTCATCGATACAGATAGGGAACTGTGTGGGGAATCAGATCGATCTCCGATGCATCGGACTAAATTCCGCCGTAACAATTATCTATCAATCTCCCCGCCTGCCCCAATTAATATTATCAATTCGCTTCAACTCTTTCTTCTCAATTCTCTTGCTGATAATATCACTCTCTTTTTCTATCGCGTAATTCAACATACTCAGTTCAGTCAGTCAGTCAGTCAGTCTGCTGAAAAATGACCGAACCATCAAACTGGCTCCCCCTCACCCCCGCCAACGTCCGCGCCGCCCACGCGCGCATCGCATCCCACATCCACCGCACGCCCGTCCTAACCTGCCGCACGCTCGACCGCATCGCGTCCACGCCGCAGGACCCAGCCGACCTGGTGGGCACGGCCTGGGAGGGCCAGACGCCCGCGCGGCCGCGGTTCCGGTTTTTCTTCAAGTGCGAGAATCTGCAGCGCATCGGGGCATTTAAGCCGCGGGGGGCGTTTCATGCGGTGCTGAGGCTGTTGGATGAGAGGGGGAAGAAGAGGTTAGGAGGAGGGGGGTTATTACGCATAGTTCTGGTGAGTCAATTCAGCATCTATGAATGTGCTGTATACAAGGTATGATCGATCGATTAATGTAGACGTCTAGGTAACCACGCCCAGGCCCTCGCCCTCGCAGCCGCCACGCTCTCCATCCCCGCGTACATCGTCATGCCGTCCATCAGCACGCCCTCCAAGATTGCATCGACGCAGGCGCTGGGCGCAAAAGTCGTCTTTAGCGGCTCGACCAGCACCGAGCGCGAGGCCGTGACGGAGCGCATCCAAGCCGAGACGGGAGCCATCTTTGTCCCGCCGTACGACCATCCGGACATCATCCTGGGCCAGGGCACGGTGGGGCTGGAGCTGGAGGAGCAGTATGCGGAGTTGAAGAAGGGGGAGAAAGAACATGGTGAGGATAATGATGATGAGGAACCCGTTCTCGACGCCGTCTTCACGCCCATCGGTGGAGGGGGTCTCAATGCCGGTGTTGCGACGTACTTTTCTTCCACCACGGAGGAAGACAATTCTTCTTCCTCCAAGAAGAAAAAGACAAAGGTTTTCGGCGCAGAGCCCTCCTTCGAAGGCGCCGACGACTGCCGGCGCGGTCTGGCAGCAGGATCCCGCATCGAGACCGTCTCGTCCAAGACCATCGCCGATGGCCTGCGCACGCCGGTCGGCGTCAACAACTGGGCTGTCATCTCGGACCCGAGCAAGGTCGCGGGCGTGTACGCCGTCAGCGACGAGCAGATCAAGAAGGCGATGCGGCTGGTGCTGGAGCGGATGAAGGTGGTGGTCGAGCCGAGCGCGGTGGTCGGGCTGGCCGTTTGTCTGTTCGACGAGGATTTCCGCCGGCTTGTCGAGAAGGAAGGCGGCGAGAAAGGGTGGGATGTAGGCATCGTTTTTAGCGGGGGCAATACGACGGTCGAGGCGATTGCTAGTATGTTTGGCAGTAAATAGAACTGTAGATATGACATGTATATATCTATATATACACAAGCTGGAAGCGAGTTACGACGTGATGATACTGAATGGAATGAAATAATGACCGAATTTGTCGCGATATCAAGTCGCGATCGCACAGGGTTATCTCCTGATAGGTAACAGGCTACTATCTATGCCATAGTGTCAGATTATATCTGCATCCTCGCTTCGCTCGGATTGCTCATAAACACACCCTCCCTTCTCACCCAGAACGGAAACCCCCCTCGCTCAGGCATCCGATTCAACGCATTGAGCACACTCAACGGCCACTCTTCCCTCCCCCACGGGTCCACCCAGGCCGAAAACTTCCCTCTCTGAACGACCTCCTGCCGGATGGGCGCGTCTCGCTCGGCCTCAGCCACGGTCGTCTCGGGCCCAAACGGCCGCACGGCGTCGCGCTGGACGACGAGTCGCAGTGTCGGAAAGGTTCCCCACGGAGGAGGCAGATGCGGTCGAAAGGATGGCGGGCCCGGAGCTAATGTTGCGTAGGGAGTAGGCAATGAAGAGGCAGCCCGCGAGACGCCCCAGGTCGTGTAGACGATGGCGCAGTCAAAACACGTCTGCAGACGGCGTAGCTCTGCGACCAGCTCCCGGTACAGCACCGTCAGGTGGAAGCTCCGGTTCTGCTCGCGGTCGCGCGCAATCTCCGCCGGGCTACGTCCGATGTCCTCGGTGCGGGCGACCTCGTCGCGTAGCCGGTCCTGCCAGTAGAAGGCGCTGGCGCTGTCGAGCATGATCGCATGCAAAGGCCGCGCCGCGGATACGTGGCGGTTGAGATCGAACAGATAGCCATCGAGGGTCTGGAGGGTGGAGAGCAGCGCAGACGACGACTGGGGACGGAAGACGTGGACGTGCTGGAGGGCATTGTGCAGGAGAGAGGTAAGATCAGCATCTTCTTCTTCTTCTGGCTTTCCTGACTTCTCTGGCCTGTCTGCTGCTGTTCGTTTGACTTTCTGTTGGACAATGCCGGCAGCGACCTCCCACAGTCGATCGGCATCGAACCTGCCATCCGAGTCGAGCAGGACTATTGCTGCTTCGCGACCTCCCAGAGGGATTCCGCGATACGCCGGTGGCAGGACAGCGATGGCGGCAAGATAATAGAGCAGCTGGGTCTTGCCTGCGCCGGAGGATGGGCTAGATATTTCCAGCACGGGCAGTCTCTTCTGCCTCTGACTGCGATTAGGGGCTGGCGGTGCAGTCGGTTCTGCTGGACGATCATTCGGATGCTGGACTTCGGCGCCAGCTGCGTCTTCAGCTTCTCCTCCTTCAGGACCCTCCGGGCGAGTGCTGGGTTGGGCTGGAGCTGTCGTGGTCTTCCCCCTGTCGAGGAAGATATCGAGCAGGTCATCGAGTTGTTTCACCCCAAGATAGGAGGCATTGCCTTCTGCGTCTGCACTTTGTAGATACTGATCTGCGAGATCATGGAGGAGCTGCGTGCAAAAATATTATACCCATGTTAGCATATGTCAACGACAATTGTTCACAAAATTGCAAAAGAAAAACAAATTCAATTCATATCCATTAAAAATCAAATTTCATCTAAAATTCATAAAGAAAAAAGACGATAACCCACCTCATCCAGTCTCTCCTCACTCACCTCCCCCAGCAGTCTCTCCCCAAGTGCGGCAGCGGCGGCACTCATCCCTCTCCCTCATTATTTGCAAGTCATTCAGGCATAATTTCTCACAATGGATATCTAGTCCTCTCTTATTAACAGCTCGAGTCGTGTTGGCTTGGTATAAACGTGGGTGGGTTGGTGAATTAGATGTTGATAGGGTAGTTCGGAGATCGTGCCCTTCTCCGCTGCGGAACGCACGGCTGGAGCTCGACTGAAAGATTGGTGACGAGCTGGAAAATCACGAGAGAGCACTCTTTCTTTAACGACACAACAATCAATTCAACAAACGAGACCAATCCTCCAAATCAATCGCATTACATCCACCAAATTAAGAAAACAGGGGAAAACCGAAAGAAAGGGGGGCAAAAAAAAAAGGCCAAGTCCGAGTTCTAAAGCAAACCAACGCAACGCAACAATGGCCCCCCTCGTCCCCGTCTTCTCAGCAACCGACCTGCCAGACCGCGTGCAGATCGTGCACAGCGCCTTCAAGGAAAAACGACGCAAGGGCGAGCCGATCGACCTCGAAAAGTGCGCTCTGCTCGAGATGGTGCAGTACTCATGCAATCCGCCCTCGGAGGGGATCCAGCCGCCGGGAGTGGTGAAGTGCAAGCCTGTTGTGAGGCTGTTTAGGAGGTTGAAAACCCTTTGAAAAGTTACTTTGTTTCGTGCGCAATAATATGCTGATTGATTGATCTACGCAGATGCGCTGGTGGTCTCACAGTCGAAACGACCGCTTGGGAACGGACGAGAGAATCGGCGCCGACGACGACGACGACGAAAAGCAGTGATGGCAAGCAATAGCGAGACATAAACATGAACAATACAAGGAGGTCATACACGGGCTGGTCCTGGTTATGTCTGCAGCCGTATTGTATGATATATAGCCAGATTGTGGCTAAAGTAGATTGTACTTTACTTTTATTTGGGTCACGGGCGTTATACGGGTAGGAGTTCTACTAACGGGTTTATGGAGTGGACTTTTTTTTTTCAGCACTAGTTATTCGCATCTGTCATGATGACATGTGCCATGGCATTGCTCTCTCCCACTTCTGTATGTACAGTACATTACATTAAACAAACCCACGGGTATCTTGCATTTTAGCAATAACAGAACGAAAATGAATCCCCCAACGCCTGACCTAACCCACTCCTTTTCCGAAATGCGTAATGCAATGCTCCTTAAATGTATGCCGAATTTATGTGCTCACCCAGCGCTCACCCTCGACACAGCAGCATCCTTCATCTCGACTACTTTTTCCGTCTTTTCCGTCTTCTGCGGCCCCGTCGTCGCGGTCTTCCGCCAGAACCCCCTCTCGCAGTTAACAATCGGCCCCAATTCAATGTTGGCCAACGGTGACTTCAATTGTTTCTGCGCCGCGCCGCTGTCGATCTCCATCGGCTGAACATCAGTAGTGCCCGGCACGTTGTTCTTCTGCTGCGCCTTCTTGACCAACCCCCGCACCGTCTTCTCAAACATGGTCTCCATGTTCTCATGCTTCCGACCCCACAAGCGCTTTTCGCGCTGCCCGGCACCAGCCGCCTGCGTGTCCCGAAAGGCAGCGCGGGCCAGTTTCCGCAGGGCCTCCTCTCCGTGCCGACCGTCCTCCGTCGCGCGTTCTCGGATCTTACGGGGATCCAGTTCTCGTTCTGTGAAGACGGGGGTATGTCGATAGGTGTGTTTGCTGGGAAATTGCGGGAAATGCGGAGGGATGTACTTGCTGCGCATGCGGTCCTCCTCGCCGCTAAGATGCGGGTCGAGGATAGGCATGCCAGCGAAGGAGTCAAAGACATCCTTTTCTTCGGGAGGAGGACTGGGCAACAGCGTCGGTGTCGGGGCGACCGCACTCTGCGGTTTGAGGTGGGGAGTCAGGTCGTCGACGCTGATAAAGGACCTGCGCAGCGCATGCTCAAAGTCCTGCGGGATGGGCTGGGTGCGGCGACAGGAGGTCATGTTCTGACGCACAAAAGAGGCGAAGTGGAGGATATCTAAGCAAAATGTAAGTCTTCAGGAGCATGCATACAAAATATACTTGTCAGTCAGCGTACACTCTTCCGTAGCATTGCGGAGACTGTCCAACGCAACGGGCTCTGCGAGGTCAAATCCAGTTTCCTTCAGTACCTGCCCAATGGCACGATTCAGCAGATGAGTGATGGTCCCATCGTCTGGGATGGCTGGCTCGCAGAGGCCGGGCTGCACGGGGACCTGGAGTCGATGGTGGTGATGATACGGCCGTTTCGGACGTTTCGCGACGGGCTCCCCTGATGATGACAGCGAAGATGGTGACCGCTTGATGGGAGGATCTGGAGATGGTATGGCATCCGCCATACCGTTTTGCTGCATGGTGAGAGGAGGGCGCTGGCGGCGTAAGAGTCGACAGACGATCGACGTAGCTTGTTGATGCGAAGCTGTCGGTCATGACGGGAAGGGCGATCACGTGACATACAGCTGCAAACAGCTGCAGATCAGTGTCAATTGACCCTTTGCAAGTGATTCGAAAGTATAAGCAATTCTATAATTCAACTCGGATATTTTAATTACTCACAATAATGTCGTACAGTTCCCGGAACTACTCATCAAAGTTTCACTTCTAACGCCATCTGCGACTAGCAAAATTCATTTCTGCCTCAGGCATCAACTCGCCTCCGGCCATTTCCGGCTAAACCCAGTGCGGCCAGACTTGGCAATCGCATCACCCAACGTGCAGTCAGTCCGAACTTCCATCCTGCCTTTATCCGCCAGCAACTGCCTTTTCAGAGCTACTCCTCGACTACACTCGCAATCGATTGCACTCCGTCTTGCGCCGCAATGGCTTCCGCTCTTCCTCCCATTACTGGCGTAAGTGTGCCTTTTCCTGTCCTGCTCGTGCGATCCGGTCGTATCGGATTGAATCTCTTTCCTTCCTTTCTTCCGTTGAGTGGACTTCATTGACTGCGCAACCAATTGACTTGCCTTGACTTGTTGATTTACCTTACTGACTTATTTTCCTGCAGATGCTCCGCCGGGGCCTCGTCCTGGACCTTAGCACCGCTATTGGTGAGTTTTCACCATCCACCATCGCACTTTGCCTGAGATCAGAACACTCGATGGAAAGAAACGGGGGGAAAGCGCTGCGACAATCCAATCCAATTGGTGTGACTCAAGGCCGGATTAGTCGGAATCGCACCTCTGTCTGTGAAAAAAACAGAAATGATGACTGAAGTCAAGTCGTCCGGCGTGGTGTATGACGATCATACTGACAGGCCAATCTTCCACAGGTCTGGGAACCGCCTTCGGCTACCTGTGGTGGTACGGTACGTACAAACAAGAAAAAAAAATATACCAGAGCGTCTTCTATCCGGATTTCCAAGGCTAATCGCTCTATCTATTCGTATATTATATAGGCTTCCACCTTCCCCGCGTCCGCGCCCGTGACAACTTCTACTCTCGCCTCGAGAACGAGCGTGCCCGCGGCCAGGCATAAACTTGTCAATTGAGCCAAATCAACCAATCAATCCGCCAAGTCTTCCCTCTCTCTTCTCACTCCGCGCGGGACCGATAGAATTCTACAAAGAGGCAAACAAAATCGATACGGAATGAAATGAAAACTTCTTTCGTCGTTTTCAATTCAAGCCAAGCCAAGCAAACAACCAGCGGAGGGGAATGAAGGAGGTGATTATCTACTGTACCTGTATATAAAAACTAGACAAAAAAACATACTTGTTTGGGCAACCAATACCAGTCGTCAAGAATTTCCTTTGTTATTAATAACACACACTCTCTCACAGCAGTTCTACTATTTAAATAAAAAAGAGTAAAACAAGAGTAAAACAAGCACACAGCAAGGAAAATAAGGCGAGCAAAAAAATAAATTAAATTAAATTAAATTATAGGATGATAGAAGGTAATTCTTGTGTCGTATATGTTATATATTGTCATCAAGACCATTCCATTGCATTCCATCCCATGTATCATCATGTCATATCATATAATATCATGAATGCTACCTATCCTATCCTGTCGTATTCATTCCTATCCCCTTGTTCGTGCCAATTAAACCATTAAACCAAAGGAAACATCATTGTTGGCAGGTATGTAGATAGATAGGCAGAGAGATCGACAGACAGATAGACTAGACAGACAGATAGACAGATAAGTCAGTAAGTCCGTCTGTCGGTCTGCCTGTCTATCCCTCTCTCATACACACACACTTTCTCTATGTGCACTCGTGACATTGAAGGGAGAAGAGCGTAATAAAAAGGAATTTCCACAGCGACAAAAACCAAACAGACAAAAAAAAAGTCATAAAAACAAGCCAAGTGAGGCAAGGTAAGGTATAGATAGATAGATAGATGGACAGAAAAAGGGTAACTGCTCATTCATCATCTTTTTTTCACTTCATCGCTGCATTTCTCTTCTCTTCTCATTTCATAAATTCATTACTTCTCTTTCTCGCGTTGAAGCTTGATCAGAAAATCAGAAATGAGGAAAAATAATAAATATTCCATAAGCAATCAATCGCATAACGCTTAAATTGAAAAAAAAAATAAAAGTTAAGAAAGGGCCTCGGGGGAAAAAAATATATTAACGCTTTCATTGATATCACTCTTTGTCTTATCAAAGCAAAGCAATGCAAACAAACTATGACTATGCACTGTATGCACTCTATCGAAGCACGCGCTCGTACTGTATTCCTCGGATGGTACCGCCGGCCATTGCCGTGCGCACGTTGCGCTTGAACCCTTCCCTGTTCGTTCGCAGGTCGTCTGCAGCTTCCTTGTTAAGGGGGTCGGAGGCGTTTGGTTCGAGGAAGAGGAACTACCCAGAGAAGAAAAAAAAGTCAGCATGGAAAACCGTGTATATATAGAAAGAGAGAGAGGGATATGACACACCTGCATCCCCACAATAACAGCATTCAGGTTCAACACCGGCTTCCAGTCCTCCCGCAGGATGTTCAAGCACACGTTCCCTTCCAGGTCGATGTTCGGATGGTAGATCTTTTGCGTGCATTTCACCTTGGGCGGGTCGTGGGGAAAGTTCTGGTTGATCGAGAAGGTGAAGTTGAAGGATCCGCCCTTGTACATGCCCTCGTCCGGCTCGATGGTGAGCGTGAAGTTGAGGATGTCGTCCGGGTTAGGGAAGCTCATTTTCATTGTGCTTCCCAGGGATAGTTCTTGCAGGTCTGTAGATATATATATCCCCGACGAGGGAGAACACGTCAGATCAAACTTCCGCCGATCCTGATGCTCTCCGGAAATGGCGTAACGACATACCTCTCTGCACCCGCAGCTGGGCAGCAGTGACCTTCTTCTTCTTAGCTGCTCCTCCTTCGGCATTCTCTGCCTGCTGCTGCTTCTGTTTCTGTACGATGGAAACAAATCTGGTCAGCCCGGATGCTAACACCCGAAGGCAAGAGGAAACGGCGTGGCGCTACCATAGACCATATCTTCAACATCTTGCCTTCACACCTCCGCCCCGCGAGGTCGGTGCTATTATTATGCTATTTCCAGTAGTCGTGTCAGCGTGATGTCTGCGTCGGCGGGGAAGTTGAGCAGAAGAACGCTGTGGGGTTATCGGGGCACGCGATAGGAAATCCTCTCTGATTGCGTGGCAAGGACAGTTCGTCACGGGGCCCGAGAGAGAGAAAATAAGAAAATCAGCCTTGACCGGGTTGCAGAGCCTTCTGGTCTCGAAAGGAAAAGGGGTTTCCAGACTTGGGCAGGGAACAGCTGTATGGCAAGAAACGTCGGCGGCAAGTTGTTTGGACCGATAACGATCTTATCCACATTGCTGACTGATCCGCGGACCAACAAAGAACTCCCCGAGCCAGGCGCCACAGCTGCCGCAAGGATACCTCCCGATGTGGTGAATGGACAGTCTACGGAGTACGAAATGTACTGCATGAAATATGCAATTAAAAAAAATGAAGAAGGTTCATCTTCTAAATCATTCCAATCTCTAGCGCCATTATCTCACCCACGCTCCAGGACTATGGAATCTGTAGCGTACATCGATCGCATCTTGCTTCGCCAATATCAACTAATAATCAATCAACAAAAACACAAAGAAAATCACCTGAAGCTAAACATCGCGCAAGGGAATCTACAATAGACTACATAGTCAAAAAAGGGGGGGAAAAAAATTAAATACGCCTTTTTTCCGCAAAAACAATGCCGATGGAGCCACCGCCCTCCACAGCCAGCTGCCAGCTTTGCTTGCACATCCTTGTTCACCGCCGGGCAAAGCAGCACATAATACCAGACTTAGCCAAGAACCAGCATGCACCGGTGAATCGAATGAGCGCCAGAACCGCTGTGGCCCACAGCAGAGTCTGGAAGAAGTGCGAGGTACGGGTCGTGGCTTGAGACTGGAGGAAAATTGGTCAGTTCGGTTGCGTGGGATCTTAAGGGAAAAAAAAGAGGGAACTTACAGTAAAACCAAACTTATCCACGGACTCGCTAGTAATACACACCGACAAGAGAGCATTACTGAAGATCCAAAACGTCACGAGCTTGGTACGGAAGCTCTTGTACGAGTCTTCAAGAGTGCGTTCCTCCTTTTCCTCCGGGGGCACGAAGGGAGTCAACGCGCGCTTCACGGTCGCCTCGAACTGACTGTCGATATCGGCCTGAGGCTTGTCGATTTCCTCAATCACCGCACCCTTGCCGTCGGCTTCCTTCTTGGTCTGCGCGGAGGGAAGAGCGTCGGCCTTGTCGGAACCCTTGGTACCCCAGGAGACATCGTGCCAGTTGCTGAAGGCATACACGTTGAGAATGTTGATGTAGGACGACATGATCAAAAGATAGGCCGGGAACGAGGTGAACATGTGCCACGGGTCCATGTACATGAAAGAAGCCACGAAGTAAAGACCGAAGGTGGCCGCCAACGCGATGATGATGATACCGGCTCCAGAGGACGAGAAGAACGAGCTGAGGAATCCGCCGACGCCGTGGCTGGTGTCGAAATCCATTGGAGCAGATCCGCTGAAGGCGTGCACGACCAGATACATGGACAGAAAGACGATATACAATTGGACGATACCGAAGAAGCAGAAAGACATGATGTAGGAATGTTTCGAACTGTGATCCGCATTAGCATATATCGAAAGCGCAGGAGACAAAAAATCACAGTTGGTAGCTTACCCTTTGGGACGATTACCCAAGGCCAAAATGAACTGAAGCAGAAGGAATCCCAAATACATGTATTTAATAATGGTATTAATGATAGGAGTGGCCGTGTTGCCGAAGGGCCAAGCCCTGTTGTTGTTGGAAGTCCCAGGGGTGCCGACCAGATCCATAATGACCGACGTAGTAAGCCAGTAAGACGCTACGACGATGGTTAGCAGCATTTCCTAGGACCACATGATGATCAGGTCATCTTACCGAGAGCAAACCAGGTCAGGATCAGTTGGAAGGTGTTGTACAGCATCTGAATATGGAAGAAGAACATGCGAACGATATTGTGGCCACTCTTGTACATCCGCCCAAAGTGCATGAGCGAATAGATACTGGCGGCAAACGAACCGTTCAGCCATCGACGACGCTGCGAGATGAATTCGGGGGCACCTTCGGGCACATCGGTTTCGGCCTTGGACGCCTTGACGTAGGACAGATGCCACTTGGAGCCGGCCTTGGCGACCAATTCGAAACACAGAATACGGTCCTCGGCCAAGAACATGTTCTTCTTGAAGATGTTCATGCCTTCAATACCCTTCTTTCCCAGCTGTTTCGACAGGGTGTGGTCACCGTGGAAATACTGCTCCAAGGGTCGACCCATGATGGCGCGGAATCGGTAGGCCGAGAAGGCACCAGGCAACACACTGACATACCCGAAGGCACTCTCCAGCGGCTTGTCCAGAATGTTACTTATCTTATACTCGAAGTTCTGCGCCGCGACCAAGGGGTTGATCAAATTCTTCCATCCTTTACCCAACATGGCGTGGATCTCACCACAAGCACCGCCCAGGTCCTTGTCGTTGTAGAATGCTTCCCACAGAGCCAGCAGAGACTTGGGACCCGGCTTGGTACCGGCATCGAGCAGGATACACACCTCGGGGTTGAGAATTCGGCCAAAGGCGTTGAAGAGCCATCGGTGGGAGTTGATCTTCTTGCTGTTCTTTTGCTTCAAACAGAACATCATCTGGACCGGGGGCAAGGTGCTGGGTCCGTCATCGGTTGGACGAATCAACTGCTGGCTGGGAGTCACCGACAGCTGAGTGGTGTACTCGAACTGCATGCATCCTAAGTTAGCCAGGGGGGTCTTGTTACAAGACCGACCGATTGGGAGGAAAGCTACTGACAATGTGGGCGACCGTCTCTTTGCCGTCGACGTCGCGCTTCATGACACCATCCTGGTAGACGCCAATAGTGGCGAGGACATCCAAAGTGTCCTTGTCACACGGATCGATACCGTCGAAGACCAGACACACGACGATCTTCTGCCATGCGGGCCCACCCTTGTTCCAGAACTCGGATTTCTTCAGATTGACAATGTCGCGGATGTTCTGCATGACACCGTGCAAGGTTCGAGAGGTCAGCATCTTGTCTTCATTATAGTAGGTGATAGCAATGAGGAGCTCCGTGTGACGGTTGTACATGGCAGGTCGGAGGTTGTATCCATTGTGCAGCGTGAATTCGTTAGGATCGCAGGTGGCCGCGGTATCTTCAAGGATCGGTCAGCAACCGGGACAAATATCGACATGTATAGACCTACAGCGCATGTGGGTGAACTCTTCACTCCCTCCCTCCAGATCGTTGCGGTACTTGGCCTGGATGGCGTTCTGGATCGCACTGGGAACGGGATAGTCGACACTCAGGACGGAGCCCTGGACCAGCTTGACCTTTCTGGTGGCATAGCGACGCAGATTCCCCCCACCACCCGGAGCTTGTCTCTGGCGCCAGGCCTCGGTGGATGAGGTCTCGCTCCGTGCGTAGGGCGATGCCACGCGGCCCGGGACGCCAAAGGCGGTAGCCGGGTTTTCCATGGTGTTCCCGGAATACGTCGAACCGGTGGTGTTGTAAGGGTCATGGTATGGGGGAGCGGAGGGATCCGTCGCGTAGGATTCGGTCAGGCTGTACCTGGACACAGGACGAGGAGACTGCGAGCGGCTGTGGGGATCGTCGAACGGTCCCTGGCCCTGGTTCAGCAGCGATCTGGACGCTTCATCTTCTTCCCGGTCCCGGCCATACTGTGGAGGAAAACAGACAAGTTGTCAGCATGGTTCGAAGCAAAGATCAGGATCTCAATCAGCCGTACGTTCGAATTAGACATGTCATTGAGGCGATGGCTCTCTTCGTACGGCGAATGGGAGCCCTGGTAGGACATGTTGTCGAGAGGACTCTGCCGAATCCTGGACGCGTGTTAAAGGAGACGGGAACGGTAAAGATACGAACGTAGCACGATGAATGTAGTGGATCAGATGCCAGTTATAACGAGCGAAGGAGAAAGGCTCAACAGGAGTCAGCTGAGACACGAAGGCGCAGCGTAACGAGGGAAGCCTCCAGGGCTGAAAGTTGACGACCCGAACCGCAGAGTCCAGCAACCGACTCTGACACGTGTTGTCGTTGACCTGTGATGAAGAATAGGATAAAAGAATATGGAGGCTCCTCGCTGGACGAGAAAACGGTGATGGAAGGGAGAAGGGAAGCGTGGAGGGGGAAGCGTGGGAAGAAAATGCAAAGAGATCGTACGGCAGCCGGGGCCGGATGGTTACCGGTGGTTTTGCTGGCAGCGTGTTTAGGGAGTCTGGCCGGCCGCTCCCACTGGGCTGGGGGCGCAGGCTTACACACCCACTCTCCGGGGTCTCGTCGACTGCTGTGGCTTGGCTCACACTTATTAGCTCTCGGTGCTAATAATGTGACTATTTACAGACACGCCAGCGACTACGGGCTAGCACTCGTACGCCAACCCGTGCTCCATCCACCAGGGTAATTATCGTACGGTACATCGCACTTGCAGCGTAGTTTCTGAAGAGAAGAGGGAGAGAAAAAGAAACAGGCAGAGGACGGGCAGACAAGTCACAGGGTCCCCGGCAGATGACCCAGGAAATGCCATGCATACCTGCGCGGTGCTGGGGTGACTTGTCATAACCCGCACAACCAGGATAATAAGATTCTTAAACGGTTCACATGCCGACTGCCATCGGCACCAGCCTTCTGGTCAAGGCCACATGGAATCCGTCAAAATAACCATAATACGACGACCAAGTATGGACTTCACGTCGCAGGCAGTTTACTTTTGCAGAGAGTGCTTATGGCTTGCCTCTAAGGATCTTGGGACGCGTCTGAAACCTTACTAAGTACGGAGTAATCTGTACCAGCCTCTCTATGCTCCGTACGGACTACCCCTGCGTCGTTCAAAATAATTTCCTAATTAGTAAAAAAAAATAAGAAAAAAAATAGAGCTGTTCGTTGCTCCACGTCTCTAAGGAATAATAATAGATCCTCATGCGCCGCTGGTTCACTGCGTGCTGCAGACTTCCCCTGCCCATTCGCAGTGGCTTCCACAGGGCGAGCTGGTGAAACAGACAGGCGGCAGCCCCAGGGGGAGGGGCTGTCTTAGATTCTTGGCCTCTCAGCTGTCTTCAATCCCTGATCGCCCACCACGCGCCTCCCGCGATCATTTGGGCCTTCTCGTAGCTTAACTACGGCCCGATCTAGGTAGTTACCGGTTGCAGCATGAATCCAAGATCTGCCGGATGACTCGAAGGAATATTGATAACTATTACTTTCCCGGTGACTGAGGGCTGGCTGGGAAGTGGATTACTCCGTACGCCGCATTCCATTATTCCATGCCAGTTCGCATCTCGCTGCATTATTACAGACGATGCAACAGCAGCGTTCCATCGACACATGCACGCTCCTTGAAACAGCCATCTCTCCTGATTTTTTTTTGTGTGCGCAGAAGAAAAGAGAGTTCTGGGCGTTGACCAGTGGTCCGTACGCCACGGCTACAGGCTACTAGTGCTCATCAGAGTAGTTACTAGGAGTTAGCATCTGGCTTAGATTAATTCCAGTATGATAATAAACCCGTTGAGGCTGTGGTTCTAATTCGAGGGCTAAAAAACAGAAGAATTCATGAAAAATGAAGGAGCTAAATATAGCCATTACAGTGCCGTTGTTAACGAGACTAGGGAGCACCCGAGGGACACCCGGTGGGCCCGTCTAATTTCCACCATCCCGATTCTATCAAACATGGCGGCGTCTGATTGGGTCGACGCGGCGTACCCTGAGCACTGGGCAACACGACTGGTCGAGAATTCATTTTGCAGCCCACCTTGTCATTTGGCCAGAGCGCCACCCATCCAAGAATAGCCAAGAATAGCGCGCGTCCGGCATTTCCATTGGCTGGCCGCGGCAGATCCTGCACCTGCCGGAATTCCATGAAACGGTCGGTGTGGCTGAGCAGAGACCAATCGCAGCGCATGGCCGTCGAATACGAGACATCCTCAGAAGGGCAGCAACAAATGCCCAAGCGAGAAGCACACGGTAATTAATTTACCTGCAAGTAATCGACTCTGTATTATTACCGATTCGTGAATTTATACAGCAACTGCCAACATCTCTTGGCACTTCCATCAACGGAAATGCTATTATTTCAACAAGCAATGCTTGTGCTGTTCTAAGGGAAATCATCAAGAAAGAATGTATTTGCTCCAGTAAAACAACGCTGGCACTGTCCAAATCTATAATTTCTGAATAGATCTTCATCGGTTGCAACAATATTTGCATGATGATAAAGACCAGGATCTAAGGGTAGATTCATCCTGTATCACACCTAGATATATATACTTCGTAGAAACCACCTCCAAGAGCCTCACATGCTGCTTACTCGTGGTGAGCGATGATGGTGCCTGTAGGGACGTCTATCTCTGTAGCAGCCAATCAGGAATTGCCCAGGTCATTCACCACTGCGCAGCTTGTACAGCGTCTCGTGACTAAGACATTCACTGCACAGCATCAGAACCCCAGTGCAATATAAAACCTCTCTCTCCTCTGCCCCTCCTTTCTTTCCTCCTGTACACACTCATTCCCCACATCTCCATCTTCTGGACCACTTCCTCAATATATTACTCTACAGGATCATAATGTGGCATATATAACCAACCTTCAAACCCTCAAGATCTTCGTATTATACTATATATCCCTCGAGAGATATCGTATCTTGAATCTTGCATTGCATCAGCGACTCTTTACAGATTCGACTAACGCTGGTGCTGCTCTTTGCACCATCCCAACAATTTTGGGCAAGATACAACCTTGACCGTGAATGGGAACGTACAGCACATGACCCTCTATGATGGCAAGAAAATAATTACTGGCAACCAAATACCCAGCATAGAGGCAAAACGATCGAATGTCCCATGGATGCAAAGCAGCTGTTTCAGTATGACACACCGCAACTGACAGCGAATCTCGAAGCCAAGGCATTCAAGTAGCCGTCCGGTCTGACGATGGAAAGCCACCCCCAGAAAGTCATCTAACATCGATTCGTTCGATATGGCTGTGCCGTCTTACCGGGCTGCCACGTCGTTGTTCACGCAATATACTTGTGTATAGCAGCCAATGATCCAGAAAATCGGCCACAGGTTGCTATATATCAACGAGGAATAGGCACCATGTGTGAGCTACTACCTATTCTCTCCGACCTGCACTGTACAAATAACTAACACAGACCTCATATATAGTCGGAGAACCAACAGAATCTCTGATTCTACCAGCCTGTATACCAGGGAAAACCGATCTCTTTTAGCAGAAGCCACAGCAACATCACCATACAGACAAATGGTTTCCTACTGGTATCTCTCAACAGCCTTCTTTCAAATGAGATGCGGACACAATATCTCTGGAAGACAAAGCTCAATTATATCGCCGCCATCAACTGCTGTCGCAAGAGTATGGTATATCGAATACCAGAAGTGTGATCTGAGATTCGACCTTTTTTCAAGGGGAATACATAGCGAAGTAAACTGAACACAATATACCGTGCAATATTCATTTCATTGACTAAACTCAAATGAAGAAAAAAAATGTCTAGCTACGAAGTACTTTGCTAGTCTTGACGAGCCCAACTACTCCGTATACTCCGTAGCTATACTGATCTGCCCATGGGTGAGGGATTAAATCAACTGCAAAGATCCCAGCGTCAATCAACTGACTCAGAGCTGGCTATATTTACCGCAACAATGAGTCGAGTCGATCGGCTCTGGTATATTATTATCGTCATCATATCGATGATATCATACGCACGCCCGTCCGTTGCATGGGGTCACCGTCACCGTCCAAGACGGAAAATCTCTCGAGAGAAGATCATTGCCCTGATCTTCTAGCGATTTGCCATGGGAAATCACTATGACCACGTGCATCACATCATACTTTCACATCCCAATTTCGACTGGGAACGCGACAACGCCTGGTGGTCAAGACTCAATTTGAAGATGCAATCAATTATTTAGTTAGTTAGTGATGTGACGGCGATCATACTACTCTTGAATCCTGATCATCCTGGATGTACTCTGTAGTCTGTACGGACTACAGAGTAATAATACTGGACGGTAGTATCCTAGACCTGCGCGGTGGCGATTAGACGATAGTAACGTCAACGATTTTTTTTTTCTGATAATTAAACCAGTTAGGCCGCTGGCTTCACTCCAAGACTATTAGATTAGCCTTGGAAGCTTCCCGTCCGAAATTCCGAATTGAAACCCGTTAAGGAGGAATTTTTTTTTACGAAATACTCCGTACTCTAACAAGTACGGAGTAAGGGCCAGCGTGTCAGCACGTGTCACTTAGAGATCTTCGCGGAGCCCGCGCTTCCGAAATGATTCCCAGCAGCAGACAGCACCGTGCACTCAAACGTGGAGAAATAATGAACGTGCTTGCCTTCCCAGCTACCAGGGTCCGATGGGTCCATCCGAACACGACAACTAATAATAATAATAATAATGGCTCCGATTGATTGAAAAACTGAAAGGGGTAGTAGACTCCATAATAATAATAATAATTAACACAGGTCAAAGCTTGGAACGTGTCATCGGGAGCCAATTTAATAATATTAGGTGGTGAGATCGTCACGACTATTGAAAAAGTCGGTTGACCGGCCCGGCGAATCACATTGGCCATTTTTTTATTTTAGGACGGCAAAACGGCAAGCAAATAACAAAAAAAAGTTTACTTGGTACTGGCACTACTGTGACATGACGATCCGGATCGATCGCGTCTATTTAGTCAATTTTCTGAAAGTTTGAATTGAAAAGGAGTGACGGTTGAGTGACGTCTTGACCATTTGGCTGGGTTGCATCTTGCTAAGGGAGTACTTCGTATAGCACCCCTGGGATTATTATTATTATTACTGTTTGCTATAAAATCAAGGTTTAGCAGGTTGATAGTGACTGGACCCATGGGCCAAGGGTTCCTTTGATATTGATAATTTATGGAGCAAGGACCGTTTGACATGGAAGACTGCATGACAATTTAATTTTACTTAAAAAAAGACCTTTGCTAGCTGACAAATACAGGTGTGTTGGTCTTGGTCCCGATATCGTTGTTGGCAACCAAAGAGGCTAAGAGTCATAGCAATCGACTATTGATTGCTTTCTGGAGACGGCGACCTTATTATTATTTGCAGGATGATCCCTAGTTATTATTATTACAGTAGTTTATGTGAAACAAGGTTTATTCTCGTCACTTTAGCCAGCGAGGAGAATGATGCACACAGGTAGAACTCGCATCTCCACCCGCTTACGACAGTACAACGACTGCAGATTACGAGTAATTCGAATGGAGTAGAAGTTGCTTGGGTAGCTCTATGAAGCAAGTAGCGCGGCTACGCGAGAAAAAAAAATATTAAAAATGTGTGATCGCGCTAACAGTCAGGTTGATTGATTCTAGACCACAGCGACGAAATTGAGCGAATGAATGATCACAACATCATAATAATTCACAGTGACATCGCGACTGATAGCTCTGCTAGTTCGTCAGGAACTTCGGGAGCCGCTTCCGCGCGAGGGATTGGTTCGTAGCGCGGCTGCCTCAAGAATGACAACTTCAACCATCCTGCATACCGTTCGAGACAGTATAGTATGTCTTGAAGTCTTCCATCCCTAGGTAAAGACAGGACCCTATGCTGGTGGCGATGTGACTGTAACTGAACGGCATGTCACGATGTGACTGCTATGGAGCTCGATCCACCTCGAGCAGGAATAGAGTCCTTTTTTTAAGTACGGGTACGCCGTACAGACCAAGTGCAGGCTGTCACGATGGGCACCGTGCACACCTAGCACGATCGTGCCAGGGCCTATCTATCACCTGTGGGGGGAGGGGAAATCGATCAACGGCACGTTCAGTGTCGAAGCAAGTGGGATTTCCCGAGGGTGCGACTCGCGAGGGCGAAGGTTGGTGTGGACGCTGGTGTCGCAGGTTCGCCAGCCTGCGGGAGCGATGCGGTGCATCGTGGCTGCCCGATCGAGCTTGCGAGGGGCTGGGACCCGCCGGGGGCGCAGACTATTGAATCTGTCGTTTCGTCACCGCCCACCCAGACCCCGGGGAGGCGCCCAAAGAGGCAAGCTGGCAAACAAAAGCAGCGCCAGAGTCAGACAAGCACCGCGCATTGACTCGCCCTGGGAGATTTCAGGAGCCACGCGGGGTGAGGGCTGCCCGTGGCGCCCGATGCTCACTCACACTTGCATGCTATCTCGTTTGGCACGAGCGTCTCCGACAAAGGCAGGCCTGGCGCGGGATTGGCAAGCACGGCCGCCTTGGGGGACCATGGTCGCACAAGCCTGCGTGCGCGTGGGACGGCGAGGGGCCAGACGGCGGCCTGGAGGATTGCTCCAGGCTGGGTGAGTTTGGCTCCGGACTCGCTGGTTGGGGGTGTCAGGGTTACTTAGTGGTGTAGGGCAGATCCGGCGCAGAGGATCGGGAGGCCCATGTTTCAGGCCGGCCCGAGCAGGCGTGCTGGCTGTCTCAGGCCCGCGTCTGATACGGCGGTGTCTCCTGCGCCTGCCGCCCTGGCATCCTGGCCCGAGCTCCCCGTGGGAATCCTCCTCCGCCGGCCAATCGCGCCCCAGCCATGCTCGCTGCTGCCCACGAGCGCCCCCAGGCTCGCCAGGCCAAACGCCTGCTCGCGCATCATATTAACTGTTGCTCGGTCGCCCCTTCCTCGCCCGGCGCCCTCGCTCTCCCTCTCCCCCCCTCCTGGTCGAGCCTGCTTCTTTCTCCTTTACTTTCTCCTGCCTCTTCTCCCGCACTTGGCGTGAGCGGGAGCGGCCAGCCCGACTTTTTTTTTTTTTGGATCCAGGTCTCTCGTTTTTGTTCCCGGGTCCCGGCCAGCTCAGTCGAGTCGAATCACCTGCCACTCTGCCGCCCAGCCGATCGTCCTAACCGCCGCCAGCGGCTCTCGACCCTGTTCGCCCTTCTCCCCCCCCCCCCCCCCCTTCCGCTTGAGTGCGTTGTCTCTTTCAGCCCCTCCAATAGTACGGGGCCGTTGCGCGCTGAAATAGCCAGCTGCCCACTACCGGCCTGGCCGCTCCACTCAGCCTGAGACGTAGCCGCCGCCGCAGGCTTTACCAGTAGTAGCAGCCCTGACAAGCCAGTTGTGCAAGTCCACTTCCGGCCCTATATCACCTCCGTCCCGGAGAGCACCGTCTCTCTTTGACTGCGCAAGGCAGTACTCGGCGTCTAGCTGCCGTCGAATTCTGGTTCCTGTCAATTCTCCAGTGCGCCTTGGGCCGATTGAGACCCGGTTGTGTCGCTCTCTTGATAAGTGACGCTGGGTGCACCGTTACTGACTGGTGCTCCCTTTTGTCTGTCGACGGCCTGCACAACCGCTTGACGATACCGTCCTCGCTCCGACTCGACGGCGTCGCAAACCCTCTCCGCCAGCATGTCTACTGCCGTCGCTCCTGCGACAGCAGCTCCTTTGACAACACCGCACGCCGATCGGGCCCCGAGTCCGAAAAACTACCCGACCTTGGCTCCCTCACCGTCCACAGCCGCTCCTGCGGCTTCAACACCACCCAAAATGTCGTCCAGTTCCCAGGAAGGGTCGGGTGGGAAAACGACGCCAGATGGGAAACGAACGCCTCCTTCGTAGGTGGTCACTTGCTCCGGTTGTCCACCGGATTCAAATTGGCTTTATATACTGACAAACCCCAGAACGCACGGCAGCACGGCGCCCAAGATCGTCGTCAAGAAGGAACCCCCTTCCTCCCCGAGTATCAACTCGCAATCCAGACACCGCCCTCGCAAACTCGATCTCTCCGCTGCGAGCGCCCCCACCACTACCAGCGCCAGCGCCAGTGGTCTGTCAGTGCGTCCTCCTGGGGCCCCATTGACCGCCCGGGAGAGCATGCAGGAAGTGGGCTTGGCATGCCTGTCTCCCGGTTTTCAGACGCAGGATCCGGTGCGCCAGGAGCAAGTGCAGAAGAGTGTGACCGTCCGCGAACAGCAGAGGTCGATCATTGAGGCCAGGTTGCAGAAGACTGCCAAAGGCGACGGACCCGATGGCTCAAAACCCTCCGAGTCCAATCTTTTTGGTTCCTCCCGGAGTTCCAAGAAGCGACCCCCGCCCGGTCTTTCGATTGTGCCTCCATCCGCCTCCCAATTCGCCAACGAGAGAGTCATCCATTCCGCTCCTCTCAATCAGACCTTCACGGGCCGTCATGAGCCGCAGCCGCTCACCCGTCATGTCGTAAATCAACCCGCCAACCTCGCCTCGACATCCCATATCCACCATGTGCCTGCCACTCAAACGAACAATCGTCTTCCGCCAATCTCCGATGTCTTCGGCTCGGACCTAGCTTCTCGAGACCGAGAGCGCGATGTGACCCGCAACGGTTTGTTCCCGGCTACTTCTGGTGCCAATCCGTCCCAGTCCAGCAACCTGCCCCCCTTCTCTTCCTCACCAGGAAATTCCTCGCAAGCGGGTCCTCAGCGGCCCCGCGAGTATCGATCTGCCGAGGAAGCCGTGCACGAGCTCTCCGGCGGCCGGGAGGAGCTGCTGCCCCGAATCGTTCATTACAGCGGTCGTCAGCAACCAACCACCCCGCCGTCACCGCGCGCCAACGGAGCGGAGGGTGCCCAGCACCATCCCGGAGTTGCTCCGACCGCGAGCTCCCAAGCGCAGTCTCAATCGCTTCCACATGCTGCCCAGGGAACCTCGCGTCGCCGCACCAGGAGCGAATATGAACAGGACAATGGAAGCCCGCCGCTGGGGACTGGCCCAGATATGCGCTACCGGAATGGCCCCGGACCCGCCGTTCCGTCTTACGGTCCGTTTGGAGCTGGAAGAGACTCTCCCGAGACCCAAAGAAGAAAGAAGGAAGAATTCCTAGCTTTGTGCTCTCGAGCATGGGATCTTTTCCACTCATAAACGGACTGCCCGTCCATTGCTCTTGTCTCTTCAATTGAGAAATAATTCCACCCCTGCTTCCTGAATAGGAAGTGGACAGTTCAACAACTCGAGCATGTCTTTTTTTTCCCCTTTTTCTATACATAAAATGCCGAAGATATCTCCATCAGAAACGGTGAGAGAAATCATCGGCTATGGTTTCTATTAATGAGCCTCAATTGATACCTGAGAGTGGACCGTTGTGGTTGGTTTTTGCATTTTAACGATGGGTTTGATGGCTTTGGTTATTCGTGGTGCATGATATCTTGAAGTGCAGAACTGAGTTGCGGCTCTCTGCACGACGAACATCTATACGAAGCATGAATTTTTTTTTACTCTTGGGATGGCGAACTGGACACTGTTCGGTCTTGGGTCTAAATTTATTCCCACATTGATCATTGATTCTCTTTTCTTTCTCTCCTTTCTTTTCTGGAAGCTCTTTGATTATCATTTTGCTTCCCGAACATAAGTTATTTCCTTCCTTTCCCCTTTTCTTTTGTTTTCGTTTTTCTTCCCCCCTCCCGTTCTGCTCTGTTTACTGGTATCTGGTCTGGGTTTTTCTTGATTCCCTCATCGCTTTATACGGCGCGCTGTATTCTTTGGGACGAAGTTCTGTTTGCGAATTTCCCCTTCTCTTCTGATTGAACAACAATGCGGAACTCATTCAAAAGGTTGATTTTTTGGACAGAGGGCTAGATCTGTTGGGGAAATTGTGATGTGTAGCTATCTACCGGATGCTACTTGGGCACGGACATAGGAAGGAGGAATCAAATCAAATTCTTGAGATCTGTGTCAACTTTTACGCTTCATTCAATGCTCAACGGGACAATACCTGTTCCTTCCGTAAGAAAGAAGAAGAAAAGAAAGTTTCTAATATTGTATAGCTGGGTCATTAAAAGTCGAAGAGAGAAAGGGTATCCATTATTATCATTATTGTTTCTATCGACCACCTTTCTTCGGCTTGGCTCCACCACCATCTCCTCCGCTGGTCTCTTGTAATGATCTCCGCCCCCAGGGCATCTCTTTCCTCTCCTTCGCAGCAAGCTTCTTTCTCCGTCTTTCCAACGCCTTGGCCCGTTCTTTCGCTCCCATGGACTCGTATTTCTTCTTCAGCACCTGCCGCTTGATTTCCGATCTCTTTAGGAAATACGGCTTGCTCTTCTTCCCCTCGCGCAGCAACTGGCGCTCCCGTCTCCTGTGCTCGGCGAGCACTTCTTGCTCGCGCCTCTTGTTCTCCAGAGCCCGCTGTCGATCCGTCGCCGATGTGATGGCGCGCTTGAGCTCCTCCTTCTGAGCCGGATCCTTGGTCCGTGCCAGTTGCTCCTTCATCTGCTTGATCTCCGATGCCCGATACTCGTCCAGGAAGGCATACGCCTGGTTGATTGCGGTGGTACTGTGCTTGGAGCCACTGCGGCTCATAATGGCCGGGTCAAAGCGCGGGTCTCGTGGTTTGGGGACATTGGTCTGTTCCACGACGACGCGTTTGCGAGAGACCGCATGCTTGGTGGACTGAACGGTCGGCGCGTGCTTGGAAGAACGCTTTGGTTTCTCTTTTGACTTGGAAGACTCGCCTCGTTTTTCGCGTGCTTCGCGAAGTCGAGCGCGGATGTCATCGAGAGCAGAGACGGTGTTGTCAGACGTTGCTGCTTTGGCGCTCGAGTCGGAGCGCTTGCGCTTTCCGAGCGACTTTCCGATCGTTTCTTGCGCTTTTGCGAGAGCGCCAAAAGATATCTGGCTGAACTCTGCCTGAACCACTTCCCTCTCATCGGCGGTATCGGACTGGACGATAGTTAGCCTAACCTGCTGGAATTTCAATCTCCGACAAGACAAACCTTATTGGCGTCCTCATCTTCATCCTCTTCATCAACATCACTGTCGTCCTCGTCATCTTCCATAGAAGACCCGGCGTCCTCAAGCTCGTCATCAGAAGCTAATTCTTCGCCTGACTCTTCCTCCATTTCATCTGATGTGGAGACTGTCGAGTAGACATCGTCATCTTCATCCGGACGTGCTCGTATGCGCCGATTCAGAGAATCGGAAATTGCCATGTTGTGGGTATAAGATGTGTCTACAGTGGAATAACAATTAGGGCTGCAAAATAGTACAGATCTCAGTAAGGCTCATTCAGTCACTGTGAATCAGTGAAGAGAAACAGTTCATGCCATTCACGGCTTGCTGTGTTCATCTCGCTGTACTGCGGCGATGAAATTTAGAACAAAAATGTGATTGATTCTGCCATCTCCGAAGGCGGTGAAGCGTATGGCAAGTCTCAACTGGTTCTGCAGCCGCGGAAACTCCGCTTCGGCAGTTTCCGCCTCCGCCAGAAATATCATTTTTTGGTATACGCCTCTGTACAATAGAGTTCTATTCTGTATCAGTTCCTTTCGTTCGGATACTACCATATTGCAGTGTTCTTCATGTTGCGGCGATCTGGTTTTCGCCAGTCCTTTCCATTCTCATCATTAGCAGCAGATTTTCCAGTCCCATCGAACGCGCCATCTCGTGAATGCTTCTTTCGGGTCAGGGAAGGCGCCAAGGTAAAGAGATCCTCTGAAGCGTGAAATTTTGCCTCTTCTGGATTCTGACAGGCCTATAATCTCAGCGTCTTAAAGCGACTTGGCGTCCCATGTCCCACATCGATGACTATACACAAAAACGGCCCAACCTCAAGAGGCCCGGAGATCCTGAGATGAATTCATCGGACCACAGGTCAGAACATGAATCGGCGGATTACGCGCAACAGGATGAGGATGTCGGCTCCAGGAGTAACTGGAGACCATTTCATGGTCGCTGGCAGCCTCAGTCCGGGGTGAATTCCCAAGTAGATCGAAGTGCTTCCCAGCAGACCCCGCATCCTGCTTCGCAACCCAACACCGCAGGCGGGGTGCCTCGCAGACCCCGTCGGCTACGTAATGCTCGCAAAGGGAATGGAACATTCAATACTCCTGGGGTCTCTCAGGATCCATCTTTTCCTGTATCGCAGAGCGGAACAGAAGCGCCGTCGCCGTTCGGGACACAGATTGCGCCGCCATTTGGGAATTCGAACTTCACCTTCGGGGCCACAGGCATGCCGGTTCCTATGCCAGGCACATTTCCGGTTGCTCCGAATGCCTTCGCAAATCCTTTGCTATACCAGCAAAATCCATTCCTACAACCACAGCATATGCCATGGAATTTCATGCAACCCTGGAATCCTATCTTCTGGAATAATGCTATCCAGCAAATGAGTTTTATGTCCACGTTGGCTTCTGCCTCCGTGAATACCTCCAACCAGCAGACGGAAGGGTTAGGAGGTGGAAACAATGGCGCTGCTATGGCGATGGCTAGCAAAGATTCCAATACAGAAATCGCTCGCAGGAAAGGTCCGCCACCTACCGTTGCCCCTGTCCCGACCAAAGAGTATTTGGACCAGGCTCTTCAGAGGCCTAAAAAGTTGCCAGCTCCTCAACCACTTCTCGTTATCCTTGACTTGAATGGCACACTTGTCTACCGAAAGAGCCGAAAGTTCCCACCTCAGTTCGTCAAGAGGCCTGGTCTCGACCATTTCCTGAAGCAGTTATTAAGCAACTATACTGTGATGATCTGGTCCAGCTCGCAGCCTAAGACTGTAGATGCGATATGTCGGCGTATCATGTCGTCTTTCGACAGGAGACGACTGGCCGCGGAATGGGCTCGAGATAAACTAGGACTCACAAATGACCAATACAAGGAAAAGGTCCAGGTCTACAAGCGTCTCGAGGAGGTGTGGACGGACGAAAGTATCCAGGCGAAGTACCCAAAAAGCAAGAACAAGCTCGGCAAGCGTATGTACAAGATATTGATAGAAGGCGAAAAACCGGGCTCGGAGGATGGTCAGACGTCAGCTGATGACAGCGCCGCGGTTCCTTCCTCAAATCTACGATGGGACCAAACAAATACGGTCTTGATCGATGACAGCAAACTCAAGGCTGCCAGCCAGCCGTACAACCTTCTGGAGGTTCCCGAGTTCACGAATGATCCGAACGTGGACGAGTCAAACGTTCTGAAGACGGTCTTGAAAAGACTCAAGAAACTGGCGCGAGTCGACGACGTGAGCCGGATGATCCATCATTGGGAGTTGCACGATACAAAGATCACTCGAGAGAAGACCCCCTGTCAAATAGTGAAAGTGACGTTTCAGACGCTACCTCTACCGCTTCCAGTTCTGCTAGCGATGCGGAGGAGGATGAACCACACCAACAACAACAACAGCCGCAGCAACAGCAACAGCAGCAGCAGTCATCCGACGACGTCGAAACTGCAAAGGAGGAGATGCAAGCCCTAAGCATCGCGGAAGCCCGCAAGAAGAAGATAAAAGCCAGGAAGAAGGAAAAGATGCGGGCTCGCCGACTCGCCAAAAAGCAAGAAAGGCTCCGGCAACTCGAGGAGAAGAAGAGCGTCAATAATAAGGAGGCGGAAAGGGAGGATTCATGATGATCCATCATGTCCGTCCATTAACTTAAATAGACGAGATATACATACTTCCCTTTTTTTTTCTTTTCTCCCTCTCTCATGTGTAACGACTAAACATGCATACATAGAACATACCCTATACATGTATGTCAGGCACTGTCTGTTTGTATCATGTTCTTATTTTTTTTTGTTTTTTATTTTCATTCTCGGCTCTGTATTATTGTCTATTATCACAAACTGCATAGTTATTATTACTAAGTTACTGGTACTGTTCGACAGTACTCCTAGAAAGAAGGGCATTTTACATACATACAAATACACAAATATAGCAGCGGAAAGAAATCGGGTTTCTTTTTTTCCCCTCCTGCTCTCTCGACTTGCCTACATAGGTAATAGTTCATAGTTGCTACTTAACGTTACCAATGTAGCTCGCAGATGCCATGCATGTTTCGATAAACGTGAATCAAAATACTCTACAATACAATACTATGATGTAGGAACATTTATTTATTGTAGACGACGCGCAAAATAGTGCGCACCTGGGAGAATTCTTTTCATTGACTCCTATTACTGGCGCGTACGCTAAATAGGCCTCTTTCTCTCATTCACATCATCGTCTTCTCGACATATCGTAAGCGGAACATAACCATCACACATCAAAACTTCTTTTCCGTCAACCAAAGGGAAAAAAAGGACATCAAGTAGTGGCGGGATGAGGCATGAGGGAACCATGGGGAGGAAGTCCGTAAATGGCAGGACACGGTAAAGGCGCATGAGATTAGGAATATGCCAAATTCCAATTACATGTCCTCAGCCGTGTGGTAGGGTGGTTTTTTCTAACGACATGCGGCAGACTTGGGCCGGCATGGCAACGGCAGGACTTGTCATTTATTTGAAGACATGACCATCAGCCCAAGGGAACTCCTTGCCGTCCCTGACGACAGGAACATCCCAAGCCCACAAGTCCTCAACCAACTTGCGGTCCTCCTCCTTAGTGTGGTCCAGCTTCTTGAACTCGAAGCTCTCCCAGTCGGGAGCCACGTCAAAGGCAGGCAGGTGCTCCTGGCCACGGACGAGGAAGGCACCTCGGATGAGGCAGTCATAGTTCTGGCCATACACCGAGGCAGCACCGAAGAGGAACTTGCGAGAAGCCTCAAGACGGTTGAAGAAACCGCCTGCGGAAAACCCGTCAGCAAATCACCAAAAAAGAAAACACAACACAAAAAGCACATACCAATAAGGTTGTTGGCCATGAAGGTGAGCTTGAGCTCGTTGTTGTACTTGTAGTCAACAAGCCACAGAGAGTACTCATCAGGCTTGTAGTTCTCCCAGAACCAGGGCAGGGCAACGGGGCGGGTATCCTCGTTGGAGTACTTGCGCTTCCACTCATCGAGGATGAAAGTGGGCTTACCCAGAGCCTCAAGAGGGTGCTTTGGCTTGGGCTCGGGCTTAGGCTCCTCTTCCTCCTCCTGGGTTTCCTGCTGCTGCTGCTGCTTAGGGCAGCCTCCTTCTTGGGCTTCTCCTCCTTCTTCGGGGGAGTGTACTTGATGGCCTCGTCAACGAGGACGGGGTTCTCAACGACAGCCTTGAAGACAGGCTGGTTGACGACGGTCAGGAACCATCTGGTGATAGCAATGTGCTTCTCGCGGAACTCCTTGTCCAAGACGAGGGCAAAGGCACGAGTAAAGATACCGGCAACGAAGATATCGGCGAGGGTCAGGCGCTCACCAACGAGGAAGGTGTTGGCGGTAAGGTGAGACTCCAGGACGGCAGCAGTCGTAAGCGCAGCCTTGGAGGCCTCCTCAACAGCCTTCTTGTTGTACGGGTCCAGGCCGAGCAAGGGACGGTACCAGGCACCGAAGCGGGGCAGCAGCTCCGAGTTGGCAAAGGACATCCAGCGCAGGATGGAAGCATAGTCCTGCTTGGTCTTGCCCAGCAGAGTGGTCTTCTCGTTCTGGGAGGTGACTGCGACATGGTTAGTCCATTGGGCACCAACCAAAGTTTAAACGTGTCACATCATGGGAAGACAGGCGCTTCTCGCTTGAAAGCGGGGTAGATCAGAGTTGGTGGGTTATCAACATTGCAATTCTGCCAGGGATAACTGATATAATAATATATAACGATTCATCATATAAAACCCAGAAGCCGCATCGCAGCTCGGAAAAAGAAAGAATCAGTCACGTACCGTAAATTGCAATGGCAATGGCCTCAGTCAGGACGAAGCCGTTCGCGCCGACAAAGGTAGGGATCTTGCCAAGCGGGTTCAGCTTGCGGTACTCAGCAGACTTGTTGAACTCAGCATTGGCATTGTTCTCCGCCTGGACCAGCTCCAGATCAAGGTCGTTGGCCTTCGCCGCGACCAAGATGGGGATGGTGCGGGGGTTGATCTGAAGGCGAACGAGTCAGCGCTGCATCAATGAATCGAAAAATACTCCTATATAAATATCGTCTGAGTACTTACAGCCTGGCCGTAGAGCTTGCCGAAAGACATTTTGAGAAAACCGCTTCTGCGAGTGTGTTCTCAGAAGGGGGAGGAGGATGGTGGGGGAAAAGGAGGCGGGAAGAAAACGAAGAGCTTGCAGGCGGGCAACGACGAAATTTTGTGCGAATCAAGCTAGCCGTCGGCGCCGGAGAATCCTTTGCTGGCTGGCCTCCAGTCACGTGACAGGCCAGGCCTGCTGGCTCCGCTGGCCGGCAAACACAGCAGAAAACCTCGTCGACGTGCGAGATAGTTGTCAAAGGCCTTCCCGACAGGGCCCTGTTCCTTTTCTATCCGTCTGACCAGGCTGCTGTCAGTCGTGATATGCAGTCAATGGCTTGGCAGAGGTCCAGTTGTCTCGTGCAGACGGTGCAGAGCGTCTGCCGAGCTTCTCCATGGCAGCCATCGCTCCAGTCCTCCGTCCATACGACAGCTCCTTTTGTTTCAATCTCTGCACAGCTGCTTCAACAGAGACGACGAAGAAACCAGTTCTCCACCTCCGCTCGAAGAAATGCTACCGAACTCGTGAAGGCGGCCCCGGAAATTGACTTCTCCAAATTCGCCGCTACCCCTGCGCGCATCGTCCCCGCCTCCCCGGCCTACTTCTCCGGCAGTCCCAAATTCATCGATCATTTATTGAATCTGGAGCGCATGCTGGCAAAATATGCCTCCCTTCCGACGGTGCCGCCCAACGAGGCCCCCCGAATGGCGTGGTTGAAGTTGGCGCAGTTTCGGGACTTTGTCGGCGAGAAAGTTCCAACGAAGAAATACAAGAACCTTCTGAAGATCCTCCAGCGTCTCAACAGAATTGACCCGGCTTTGGCGCCGGAGGAGGTGCGTGAAACGCTGAACAAGTTCCTCCGTCCTGGCAACCCCTATGCCAACAAGCCGGCGCCGGCTACGGTTGATGAGATGGGTCGAGCACGGGGGAAAGGCAAACGAAAGACGGCATCTGCTGTGGTTTATCTCGTAGAAGGAGAAGGCGAAGTCTTAGTCAATGGCAAGAACATTGTCGAAGTATTTCCACGAATCCATGACCGTGAGAGTGCGTTATGGGCACTGAGATGCACACAGAGGCTTGACAAGTATAACGTATGGGCTACAGTCCGCGGTGGAGGAACTACTGGTCAGGCCGAAGCAATCACCTTGGCAGTGGCACGGGCTTTGCTGGTTCATGAGCCTGCACTCAAACCAGTCTTGCGAAAAGGTACGCGACCTCTCCCCTCGTTGATTGTATACTTTGTGTCTTTTGTCGAGTATGGAAAGGGAACATTGGCTGACTACTCGTTTGCACATGACAGCTGGGGTCATCACGGTCGATGCGCGTCGTGTGGAGAGGAAGAAGCCAGGTCATCGGAAAGCAAGGAAGATGCCCACCTGGGTCAAGAGATGAAACGCCGTTTCTCATGTTTTTTGTTTCCTCCCAGTGTATTATTTCACATGTGCCCCTTCGACAGCGAAATCTATACTGTACTTACTATGTTTTGTCTATATCCAAGGTCAAGGAGGTCCTCAATTCACGAGCTTGCGTAACCTGTCAAATGACTAGGTATTACTATCAGTGGGCATTTGGGAATCAATTGGTTCGTTCGTTTCGCAGCAAGAAGGAATCTGCAATGCTGTACGGCAGTTTGCCTATTAGTAGTACTACTCCGTGTCTATGCAGTAAAAGCTCATACGGAATTAAGTAATGCTGAAACCAGATAGGAAGAAAACTATATAGTAGGAAACGTACCTAAGTACACTTAGGCTAGGAGTCCATAAACAAACAAAAAGCCCAAAGGTCTCTGATAGATATCGCATTCGACCAAAGCAGGCTGCAGGAGTAAGTGACTGCCAAAAAGGAAAAAGCAAAATGAAAACTACCTGGAAGCTTACAGACTGTCGATGCTTCAAATGCGAGCAGATTAGTTATTAGCGCCCAGGGCTCTGAGTCTGGCCTAGGCCTTCTTCCAGAATCGTATTCGAGATAAAAGATTAGGTACCCTACAGGTGCCTAGTAATGCTGACTAACAGGAAGTTAAATATGTTTCAAGATTTGAGATATGCTTTAGGAGCACATCGCAGGCCTGACTTCTCAGAGAAAGAAAAGAAAGAACAGGAAGGAGCAAGCGATGGGAATTGCGCTATAACAATGCCCAAATACCACACAGCCTGCCTTTACATTATCGTGTAATTCAACTCACAGACCTGAGATGGTGTTTCAGACTGTGCGGGGTTCTGGGAATCAACGATTTCAATGCTGATGGCATGGAGTCCATGGACAGGATACTGTTGTCGTTAAGCTTTTCTCAACTCCTGCCTGGGCTGGCTGAAGAAGGTTCCACTCTTCTGGAAAAAGCCGTTGGAACCTCCCCTGACTGATTGGCTGGCGATGTCATGCAGCGACCCTGACGCTGGCAGGCGTAATTTCGGCAAAAAGCAGCTAGCTAGCAGTTGTGTGGTGACATCAATCAACGGGATTGTTAATAATCTTATATTATTTCTCCTTATTATTACCGAGAAGGGATAATATCCGCATGTCCGTGGATAGAACCGGTTCCTGCAGATGATGCTGATACAAGGAGCGCGTGGTAATTTCGCACTCTCACGCACCATTTTTGGAATCAATCAATGATAGAGAATGAGGAATCTCCGCGGACATCTCTACACACAACGAATGCTCCATACAGAGTACGTAGTTTGTACCGACGGAATACTCCACTCAGGATCCACCAGCCCAAGTACGATCGATCTCGGAGACAGACCCACTAAATGGAGCAAAAATGATGAATCCAATCTTGGACGAAACAAACACAACAATGTGCAGATGAGGAATTTCATCAGAGTTTCACATTGTTCTAGAAAAAAAATTACTTACGCAAGGAGATGCTCTAGGGGGGTTTTTCCATGCCAACCTCTTATGAGTTCATGCGAGTCATTTTCGAAATTAATAAACCCGGGAATGTTTTCGGGATGACCCTATACGGAGTACTCCGTACAGGGACCTAGGCCTGGACCTGGACGTCAGAGCTGAGACCTCTCGGCACCTTGTTGGGCAGAAACCCCGTTAGTGATCATAACGCTGCGTCGTTGCTGATAGCATTCGCATCGCAATTGGTGCCTGCGCTCCTGATGGAATAATATCCTCATGATTCATCTTGGGTCTGCCTGAAACCACCATTTTAGCATGGTGATCATTTTCTATATCCAGAATGCAAAAGTGGTGGACGACAGGCTACGGCAATTCGATCGGGAAACACTTTTTCCTGGTCGTTGTTGCTTCATGGCAGTCAAAGCTGAAGTCAGCAAGACTTCCAGATACGACCTTCGTGGTCATCTCATCGCACGGCGTCTTTGATTTGTCGCAGAGGTCTTATTTGTATAGCTCCTGACGGTAGCGAGGGATTTATATTGTCCCGGCGCAGCTGCAATTCGAGTGTGGCGGGTGTCACCCGGACGCTGGCCGGCTACCAGGCCGTGGACGATTCCCGAGGTCCCTGATGCGCGTTCAGCATCCAGAATGCCCAGAATGCTGTCGGTCGGATTGCAATCGGCCAATCCACAATAGGTCGCCTGCTCCGAGTGGCTGAGCAGCGGTCCCCCCACATATCTGCAACGCCCGCTGTCAGCAGAGCGCGTTCAGGTCGTCAAGGCTCAACGGCTATCCAAGCACCGATCCTGAAACATTTTCTCGACGCGAAGCTCTTCCCAGTGCCCCTTAGGCCAAGCCAGCTGGGGTATGGCTTCCTGCGCCCGCCCAATGGGTGCCTCGCCGCCTTACAGGACGGGCTTGTCGCACGCCCAACGAACTGGCGTCGTACGGCGTACACCTGCTCCATCGAGCAAGACGCTAAGCCTCCATCCTGCCTGGAGTCCAGACCTGTTTCTCGTCCTGGGCGATTGCAACTAGGGCTGTTGTAATCGCGGCCCTGTGCGATCATAGGCGCAGGGCGCGACGCTAACCAACGCCGCAGAGAACAAGCTCCCGTCCAGCATCCCACTTCCCACGGCACTGGTGACCCTGCCTCAGTGCGGTTGCAATAATTCGCAAGCTTTATGAGCCGCGAAGCCCCGATGGCGCAGATCGCCGACGTGCAGCCCTGCAGGGCTCCAATTAGCGGCGCTGCGGCCCTGTTTCTTCGAAGCCCCCGGAGTATTCGGGACTATTCCTACTCGACCCAGACGGATGACAAAGGTCCATGCTGAACAAGGCAGCATCATTTTCGTCCTGAGCGATTCTTCGACTTTCTTCTCTCTCTCTCCTTTTGCCCTTCTCGCCGGATGAGCTGGTGCGCATCGGACCTTCTGCAGGCCGCGAAGACACTGCAAGGCCCGGAGAACTACATCGAACGTGCTGAAGGCGGAAATCCAATAGATTGACACACGAGCAGACCTCATCTGACTTCGATATCAAGTCTTAGTGCGGATGGGGCTACCTGTCCAACATTGGGGCCCAACCGAACCGATGCGATCACCGCCATCCTCACCTTCATTGTTAGCCCGGAGCCATGGATTGCGCCAAGGCGCAGAAGGAAAAGGGAGTGGCCCATGATCTAATTATGGCCAATCCGGTCCATGCGACGACGGGACACATGAGACGACAAAGGACGCTCCATAAAGAATAATAATGAAAGAAAAGAAGAAGGAAGGGAGGGAGGGCAGGTACTCCGCAGGGCGCACATCTATTTTTTGTCCTTTTTTTTTTGGGCTATGGATTCTGTAGCACCGTACGGAGTAGACACTGTAGGTCATTTCCACCCTGAAGAGAAGCTTCCCGACTCTCCGGCTCGTTCTTACCCAGATCGGGGAGATTGCGCGTGGCCCAGCCAGGCTGCTTGTTATTTGTAAGTAAAATCTAGGCCGCGGGCTCCCGCGTTTCGTCGGACTAGCCAGCTTCAGCCGTAAGCCGTCGCGGAGACGCAGAGACGCAAAGACTCTGAATATCCTCCCCCGGTCCGCGTCCCATTGTTCCTCTCTCCAAGCCCCGCCGTCCTGGTGGTGAACTTAAGCGGCCATAATCCCTGTCAAGCCATCGAGGCGTCAGATGCCATGATAGCCGCGTCTACGATGTGTGACGGATCGTCGGGGTTGGTAAAATATTGCCAACTTCCTGGAGTCGTCGACCTGGTTGCCAGTCCCGGGGTGGCCTGTGAATCACGCGCTGCCTCCGCTTTGACGACGGGCCTCTTCTCTGGCTGTTGTCATCCTTGCGGTCTGCCAGACCCTGTCAAATAATGCGATTTTGCCGGCCAGCGTGCCGTGTCAGATCCTCTATCTCGATATTGTCGCCAAAGGAAGCTTGGATCGTGTTGTTCTTTTCTCTATTTACTTTATATCTTTGGCGTGCTCCGCCGCGACTGGGATCATCCCCGCAGAGTTGGATGATTGGCAGCGTCACCCTTTCTCATTGTTCGGGAGCGCCCGACTGCTCTTTTGCTTGATATTGGGATGCGGAAGACACCTCTTGTGAAAGCGTTTTCCCAGTAAGGTTGCTCTGCCTTTCGTCTCCATGACGAGGGATCCTGAGCATGTCTTCCAGGCTAATTTACTGCGCAGGCCCTGTGAGCAAGCAGCAGAAGCCGGTTTATTCTAGGACTCACGAGGTCTCTTAGACAGTGGCTTCACTGTCTATGACCGATCCCGCAAAGCCGACTGTGATCGCAGGCCGGAAATCTGGAATTCTACGCAAGCCCTCCGCTCTCGCCTCCGACGCATCGAGCCCACTTCTTCGATCCGTTGCGGGGCGGGCCCTCCAGGGACAGGGACCGTCCAGGTGGAATGGATGGTGACAATCATCAGAGGAAGCAGCATGATCCTTCCAATTATCCGTCGGTGCCTGGGCTGCCACGGCACGCCGTGCAACAACCACAACTGCCACCTGGTCGCTCAGCAGAGCACTTTCGACGGCCATCCCTACAGCCAGCACGCCAGGGGGACATGCCCGTGCCTGCGCACGGGCGAAACGCCCATCTGCCAGACTACTCGGCGTATGGATACACGTCCGAGTCATCCCTCCAAAGCGGTTCGTTGCAGGGCTCGGGGTTACAATATCAGTCGTCATTCCCTTCAGAGTCATTGCGCCAGGAGTCACCACCAGAGCATTCACACCAACGGGAGTCTCAACAGCAACAGCAGCAATTCTCCCAGTATGCCCCAAACCTTGTCTACGGCCTCGACCAGCAGGGTCAAGCACAGGCCTCATATGAGATTGCTGTTCCAGCGCCTTACGAACCACGACAATCTGCAGCCTTGGGAGCTCTGCCCGCCCAGTTTGGCGTTCCACAGTATTTCACACCTACGGGGCAGGCTGGGTCCGGCGACTCCGGAGTGTATTTAACTCCGCAGGAGCAGCAGGCAATGTATCACCAACAGAATCCACTTGGCCGCTCGAGTGCGCCATCCTATTCAGCCGCGATGGCCGATTACAATCCTATCGGCGCCACAGAAGGCGTAGAGCAGCAAGAGACAGCTCAAGAATCAACCAATCTAGAAGACGCCTACGGCCGATATAAGCAAGCTCTGACGACCACCTTTGACTACACGCGGGCGGGGCGATTGGTCGACGCGAGTCGATTACTCTTGGAGATCTCCGAGTGGCTGGTCAGCAACGCGCGCGACTTAGGTAAGGGTATTACTAGCCTTTCGTACTAGTCTTGACTCCATCTCTTCTGCTCCCCAACTCTCTTTACTGTGGTGGAGATTATAGTAGGTGCTAATTGGTTCTTCGTGTCGCCGGGTTCCCAGGCCTCTTGCGAGACGAACAAGACCTCCACAAGGAACGGTTGAAACTCTGGGAAAACTTCAACCTCTGCTGGCTTTCCCTGTTTCAGAAACAGAAGGACCTGACTCGGGCTTTCCTGGAGACTGGCCAACAGCAACCAAATACGAGCATGCTGACGGTCGATATAATGAAAAAAATGGGAAATGACCTCGTCCAGCTGTGCGATAAGATGGAGCCGCACGGACTTGTCGACTATCAAATTGGGATATGGGAGGAAGAAATACTTAGTGGTAAGTTGATGAGCGTCGGCGTCGGGGGATGACGGTTGGCTGATTTGTCTTGACAGTTTTAACTCAATGCCTCGATCTGGTCGAAGGAGGTAGCAAGACGACGCACCCGATCGTTCCTGACCGTTCCTGAGTATGGCGATGATCTCCGATGTTTCGCATCATATGTCACCTGACTGTTGATGCTTGTCAATGAGTGTATGTTTTATAATATCCTTGACCGGTAGCAGGCCCTCTTTTCTTTGTTTCCATTTGCAAGCCGGCCACTTTTTTTTCTCTCTCGGAGTCGAGCTGTCAGACTTGATGTTTCAGTATGCATCTCCAAGCTGCTGGATGCATTGGTCTGATCAAAAAGTTTTCCTTTCCTTTCTCTTTGTTGCTTTTCCACCCAGTCTTTCTCGCTACGGGTTATGATTTTTGCATATTACAAGATAGTTGTCTTTTGTGGGATATTTTATGTGGGACGAGTCGGTCACGAATGGATGGAAATTCGAGCGATGCATGGCGCACGGCAAGGGATAGGGATAAAAAAAGGGCAAAAAGGTCGAGAACACAGTACACGGATGGCGCTATTACGGGTTATAGAGGGGGGGGGTGGTGGGGGGGGGGTTTGCGATCATGGCGAATTAGGGCTTTGCTTCTTCAGATTCATGCGATTGTACAGGGTACTTTTCTGAGCTGGTCTCGAGACACTAATGTAATGATTACAATGTAGGTAGGTAGTTATATAATTATTCAAGAGAACCCTAGAATGGAGAGAGGGTACAAGTATGACAGGTATGACATGCACTGTACCTTGTGACCCAGGTCCATGTGCTTGCTATAGTCAGATGTGCCGGGTCAACTGACCTCGGAGTTTGTGTTACAAGGAGTATGTACACCGATGGTGAATATACATACATACAGTACATTACATACAGTACAGTACAATATATAATTGAACATGTGAATCAGGCCTAACTGCAGGACCAGACAGAATATAAAGCTGCGAAAGGAACCTGCTGCAGGCTGCCTCACCGATGATCCACGATCGATTGATGATTGATCCAGGTTATCGGGCTGCTGACATTACGTGTGTGCCTAGGTAGATACCAAAGTCAACTAGCTAAACAGGTACCTATTGCATATCCTGCTGCGGGCAGGGCTGTAATTTCAAGCCTAAGTACGTACATACACACTAATACTATAAGTCAACTAACGTTAGTTAAATAAATAATTTTTTTATTTAGTAATAATAAATAATACGTAATATCTGCACTACTGCAGCTATCCAAAATAGTCGGGATTTAGATTCATATTCAGGTTCATTCGGTCGAGCTTTACCTGCCCTGACCTGATAAGTATCACGCACTGACGAATCAATAATGTCTGAAAAGGGAAGGATACACAGCTGGAGTGGGGAGTCCAGAATATCGCTGATATCTGGCAATCAATTAGCAGAGGAAAGAAATATTCATTCATATTCCAACCGATCAAAAATTCAGTAGAGGGGGGGGGGGGGGAATTGGATTGACTGACTGTCTAACTGCCCCTGATCGAGTTAATCAATTTATCTGACTTGACTGAGAACCTAGTATATATCTACGCATGTAAGTAAATACACATCTACCTGCCTACGCAGTCTCTATAGATAGATAGCTAGATCACTTACTTAAATACCTACCTGAGTAGCTACCTATCTATGATTAGTTAGTACCTATCTATCTACACTCAATGCCGTGTATATATATTATTTATGTCCTCTTTGCAGACTCGATTTTGTTTACGTATGAGTAGGTCATGTACAGTACGTACCTATATAAAAAGCAATTAGCAGACCTTATTTTTTTTCCCTTTAAAAAAAAGGCGTCTGATGCCTCTATAAGGCTCAAACAAGAGCAACAAACAGACAGAGCACTTACTGTACTTCCAAACTTGAAGTTGAAACCCGATCGGCGAGGTGATATAGGGTTTTCACGATGCTGTAATAATAATAAATTCCATTCCACTCGGAATGTTTATTATACGAGCGAAAAGGAAATGCATCTCTCTCTCTTTTAATCAAGTTTCATAATGCAGTTAAAATAGTCGACATTTAACAGAATTGACGGTGCGTTGTATTCACTATTCATAATTAGGGTTGATATTAATTGGTACTACCGAGATGAATGACTGCAACCAAGGCAGTAATACTGGCTAGGTATGGATATCCCTAGGTAAGTACCTCTAATAGATGCAGTGGTAGAGTTGGGATAGGTCGGGTAGAAACCAGGGAATAGCATTCATAATTCACCATGTCAAGCAGCAATTGCAGTCACTCAGGCCGAGTCGCATCCTGTTGTGGAGTAATACACACGCAGATGTGATGCAATCTATGTGTGCACATATATGGCCTACCGAATCACTGTCCTGTGTCATCACTGAATAGACCTGGTCATGACAGTTGAAGTAGTTTTGGTATTAGGAAACGGAGGACTCGAAGGAATATATATATATATATCAAGACTTGATGGTTCCATTCCATAATATCAGAGCTACCTATCCCCGTCCAGCACGGAAACCTGGATATACTCTGTCGTAGGCGCGCGTACAGAAGTATGAATGAAGGAGGAAAGACTGGCATATTCTCCTGCCATGCAGTAATTCATATCATGGATATTTACCACGACCATGGACAACTCGAAGCTTCAGTCAAATCGTAGGCCATCATTCAGTCAAAAGAAGAAAGAACTCCCAAATACAGACGGTCATGCACTAATCATAAACAAGGACAGGAACACAGAAAAGAGAAAGAGGTATGGAACGCTTTTAAATTTGGTCTGCGCACATGTTAGCATTGCCGATTGCATCGAAGCTCCAGGACCCTGCCACATACTCAGTGTCATGCTCATGCTCACGTCCGTGCTCTCCACCATCCGCTTGAACTCCTCGAAGCTGATCTTGCCATCCCGGTCTTTATCCGCCTCCATGATCGTCTTATCCACGATCTGCTGCAGCTGCACGTCCTTCAGGTTGTTGCCGACCATCATCTTCAGGACGATAAACAGTTCGCCGTTCGAGATATATCCGTCACGGTCGATATCATACACCTTAAAGGCGAAGCGCAGCTTCTCTTCCTTGTTGCCCTTGGAGCTGAAGGCCGACAGTCCGGAGACGAATTCCTGGAAGTCAACATCACCACCTCCGTCTTCGTCAAAGATCGCGATCATCCTAGTGCATCACAAAGATCCCGTAAGTATAAGCGTATTCAAGAGCCCAGAGGGGGGAAAAAAGGATCTTAGCTACCGTGTCGCGAGAGGATTGGAAGAGACTTGGGGTAGCGAAAGGAACTCTTCTCGCTCGATCGTGCCGGAATTATCCTTCCCAACAGTCAGCAAAACATCTCAGGCCGGTGCGAAAATCCTCCCTCCTGACCTTGTCCAGCTTCATGAACCTTTTTCGTAAACGATCGACTTCATCTCGGTCGACTGTAGCAAAAATGAGTCAGATAAGAGCGACTTTTGAGCCAGTATCGAAGCGAACCCACAATTAGACGCAGAGACTATGCTATCAAGAACCTGAGAGCCTCCAACAGACCCCTGTCTCTTCCGTGTGTTATACAAGGCCGCACTGTTCGGCTCGGCTGGCTGGTCCATGATTGCGATCTCCGATCTCCGGCGGGGAAGTAAATGATCAGTCGATGTAGGGCTCCACCGAGTTACTCGAAAATGATGAAGAGACTACGGCGACGTAACTAGTAATGGAAAGATAGATTGGGGAAGAAGAACAAGTACAAAAGGTCGATGGAGGAAACTGACAATTAATCGCATCAAAGGTTGGTTGATGCGGAGCTGTACTATCGGACTTCACGTGTTGTCCAGTCCATTCACGGAAGTGCCAAGCCCCAGGCCTGCTACCCAGGAATCCTGGAATCTGATATTGGCCATCCCCGCACTAACGGGAAACGGATAGCCAAGCGAACCCCTGAGGCCGTGCGCTGATCCAAAACAGGCCACGGCGCAGTGACATGGCAACGTCAACTCAACAAACCGCCGTGTGACTACGAGATTACAACCGTCAATATCTTCCACCACCCATCATTTTTTATCAAGAAAATACGACTACGCGATATCGCATGACCTGAACTTTCGTTTGATACCAATTTTGGGCCTCTTCGCCCATGGTCGTTGCCGATTTCGCGTCCCAAAGATTGTATGACTAGGTACGGGGGAATGGGGAGGACGCGCCCGAAAAAGCTCACCTCCAAGGCCTCGATCCCTATCGTTAGGGAGGACCAAATCGAGGACGTCGATGAAGAGGTCCAGGCCGCCCTTCAGCAGGTCGAGACTGGTGTTGAGAAGGCGGAGGAGTCAGTAAGTATAGCCTCGCCATCCCTAGCCCGGCCCTGCAGAAAAAAATCACGTGATTTTTTTTCAACGACACTTCAACATCCAAGACGCGTACCCCCTCACAAAGAGCCACCATCGTATGGACTAACCAAAATCCTGCTGATAGGAAATCCATCTGCAAGCCGCTATTAATGCTGCCGCACGCGGTAAAGTCAGTGAGGCACATATCCCAACACCAGAAACCGTCCTAAGTAATATCCGATATGACGAACTCTATCCCCCTACCTTTTCGCAACCTGCAACGTACATCCGCTTCTCCTCGACCGTCGAGGATTGTTGCGGATGTCCGTATAACATGGTTGAGGAGGACGATGTCTTCCTCAAGGAAATGAACCAGAAGCGGGATCCATCGTCTCAATGCACAGAGGATCAATTCGAAGAAGTCATGAACTTCTTCGAGGAGACGGCGCGACTGAAGCAACCGTTTGCCGCAGTCGACAATCCTCCGGTGCTTTCGTATGAAGAAATGGAAGAGTCCTTTGACGCAGCTGTAGACGAAAATATAAAGAAGTTCGCAAAGGATATCTATGAGCACTGGAAGGCACGGAGGATAAGGACCGGAAACCGTCCCTTGCAGCCAACGCTCAAGGTAAGTAGCTCGCCTCTCTCTCTCTCTCTCTCTCTCTCTTTTTTTTTTTCAGCCAGTTGGACATTTCCGACGTTGACGATGCACAGTTCGAAACCGGTCAGGAAACCGATGACGGTGATCCATATGTATGTTTCCGTAGACGCGAAGTGCGCCAGATTCGCAAGACTCGTGGTAGAGATGCACAGAGTGCCGAAAAGCTGAGAAGGCTCCGAAAAGAGCTCGAGGATGCTCGCCAGCTGGTGGCCTTTGTGCGACAGCGCGAATTGGCGCGAAAGGAGTTGCTTGCTCTCGAAAAACAGATCTTCTTGCAGCGGTCGGAGGTTAAGGAAATGAAACGGAAACTTGGCATCAAGGATGATGATGAGGATCTCATCAACCAGAAGGTAAGAAGACGAACCATCGCTGCTACAGGTTCGTTGACTGACGCTCAACAGCCAAAGAAGAAACCCGTCGAAGTTCCAGCAGTCCAACGACCCGCTGTTCCACAGCTCCGCCTGCCCCAGAGGCCTGGGGCGCAGGCTGCAGAAGACTTGCAGTTGTTGGAGGATGTGCAGGCTGAGAAAGAGAATGAGATTCTGCGTGACATCAAGCAGAATCTGGCGAAGCATATCAAATGGAACGAGGGATATGTTGACCTCACAAGGGCGCCGCTTACCCCGTCTCCCAAGAAGACCTTTGAGGCCGCTTTCCGTCCCGCGATTACCACACAGCTGCCAACACCTCCGTCTTCGGATTCATCCGACAACATGGGTGATACCGCTCTAGACAACCTCCATCCGTATTTCCGTGATTCCTTCGCGTCCCGAACCATGGACGTGGATGAGGATACTAGCAGAATCCCTTCGTTTAGACGGCGTATAGGGCGAGGTGGTCGTATCATGATCGATCGTCGGAATCTAGCACCGCGGTGTAAGGTGGACATTGATCCAATAAAGCTTGACCGATTCAAGTACGATAATGACGACGATGACGATGATGATGTGGTGTTTGAGCGTGATAAGTATGATATACACGTCATGCAACACCGAGCCATTATGGCTGCAAAGGCTCGCGAGCAGGCGCTAGCGGCTGCTCAAGCGCAGGCCCAAGCCCAAGCCCAAGCCCAGGCACAGGCACAGGCACAGGCACAGACACAAGCCTCGCAAGGCCAAACTCAGGCGCAAGCACAGCGACGGCCGCAGGGCGGTGACCAGAACACGGCTCCTGGTGCACCGAACGCGGGGCAAACGATGGGATCGAACCCGGGTCCTAGTGCCATCGCCGCAAGCAGTGCGGCATAATGTCTGTCCTGGTCATCCCCCTAACCCTTCTTGCATGGCTGGCGTTACTTGGCTCTTTCTCTTTTTTGCTTGTATTCCGACCTATATCCCACTTGTAGTATGTTTCATGGATTTCCCTGGATCGGTTAACAGGACTCTTCTGTCAAGAGAGTCCCAAAATTCTCCTTACCCCTCCTCTCCCTTTCATCTCATGTTGCAACTTCCGGAGGCCTATGAAGCAGTTGAATCAAGGCCATGGTTGCGGTATTTTTCACGAGGTGGCTTTTTGAGCCTTTTTGACACTTATGTACATAGTCTTTTTTTTTTCCTTGGGACCACTCGTCGAGGTGATGCATGTATGACTAGTGAAGAGAAACGTCAGCAATGAAAAACTAATAATTGATGATCAAAGGCGTAAACATACATTAGTATCAGTCCTGGATTGAATTTGATGGTACGAATCTTGTCCTCTGCCCCTTAGAGAGGTTGCTAGTAAGATTTAGGTCTTTTGGATCTTTGCCTTCCTGGAATCCCCGTCAGGTGCATTGCGCTTTGCCGAGGGGCCTCCCTCGCCGTTCTGTTTAGCATTGGAAATATAGTCCGATAACATCGCGGACAGTTGACGGAGGATCTCTTTTTCTCCTAATCTGACCTGGACAGCCATCTTTTGTCGACGAGGAGAGCCTTCTAGAGGCCCTGAGACTTCCATCTCATGGAAACGACTCAGAATCTCTTCATCCTGTTCAATGCTTGTTGAGTACTGAGTCGCTCTTTTCTGCACAACTTCCATAAGTAGCTGCGCTTCAGGTAGCGTAAAAGCGGGCTTTGGTGCTTTATTCTTCGACTTCAATTGCTTCAACTGATCTGGGGTGAGGGTTAACGTTTTGAGGAGAGCGAGAAGCTCGTCTGGCAGAAGGTCGGCCAGTGGCTCTTCAGACGACGGACGTGGAATGCAATATCCGTCTTCGAGGATTTCCAAATCCTCAAGGAGCTTAAGCTGCAATGGACATCAGCATAAAATGTCTGATAAAAAGTGGAAGAGAGGAATAGGGTACCGGTGGCTGATTTTCGGGCTCCGCATCACTGAGCCCCGCAGCCTGGCATATCAATGCCAATGGCAGTTCGACCACATCATACTGAGCATAGTTATCGGTGACGTAGCCATAGCGCCTAAGAAGATCCGCACGAGGTATCTCGCCGTAATCGTTGAAAAGTTCATCTCCTGCTTTGATAGGTTTGATAGCCCTCATCACCAAAAACTTTTCTTCCTGGAAGAGTCGCGCCTGAGGGAAAGATGAAAGACATTAGCGTAATGATTCAGCAGGACGCATCGGATTAGAACTCACGTTGTTGCGGTCCCCATCGGCGTTGAGAAGGTCCGCCAAAGGAACCATGCCTTTGGGTAATTGGTCCTCGTCGTCGGTCACGTATCCATCCTCCCCATCGCCTTCCTCGTCCTCGCTCTTCTCAATATCGAAAGCGTACGCCATGATGAGAGAACCCATTCGATGAGCTAGTTCGAGCAGAACTCTTGCACCTTCTTCGCCGTCATACGAGCTAAGACCTTCGACTGGCGGGAAAAGGTGAGGGTTGGCTCGCACAATCGGGACGACCATGTCGAGGATAGACTGCTCGGCATCTTGCTTGCCGATTTTGTCGACAATAGCACTAGCCTGGAGTTCCGAAAGCTCCGAGTCTGTCCAGAACATCAATGTGTCGAATTTGGTGGGCAAGACTCGGAAGTAGTGAGCCCAGACAGACTTCTCGCCAAGCAGATACTCGTGAATCATCACAACGATCAAAGAGAGCCAGGGACCAAGCTCGTCTAGATCTTGCGAGATGCGATTTTTCAGCCCGGAATTCTGCACGGTGAGAACGACATCGCGGGGGATAGCAAATAGTTCTTCACCATCGGCAATGTCCGAGCGAGCGACTGATCATGGACAAACTAAGCTGTCAGACCGCTGTGTGGCCACCATCACGGACAAAAAGACACAAATGTCAAAGTGAAAATCTTAATTCAAAAAACCAGACAACATACCGACGCCTCTTCCGGCTCCCTGAGATCTCAGGTCCGTGACCTGGATGTTGGGATTAATTCGGACCCCGGGCTTCTGGCTCAGCCATGAGACGAATTCATCCGACTGACGCTGGAAACAATCAGCGTCGGGGAAGTGGGTTGTGGTGGACATGGCACGGAAAGAAAGAGAGTGCTGAGCAGGTCAACAATGCCGCTCGAAGAACTTGTCAGCTGCCCGGGGGCACACAGAGAAGAACGAGAGACTACGAAAGAGGGGATTAAGAGAAAAAGAACGACATGGAGGCTTTGGTGGGCGAGGAGTAAATGGAGTTCCACATACAGTCTGTGTATAGTCCGTGCTCGCTTCGGATAAATCTTGGGCCGGGTCGGCCACTGGCGGATCAGCCGCCGCTTCTTGCAGCCCCGTCGAGGAAGCGGCCAATCGATAACGGCGTTGATAATCCGAAAAAAAGGGCCCAGCAGCAAGCACGAGGAGCCAGGGCAGTGTGCAGACCAAGCCCATGGCTCGTGTTCCGTTGTAACTGTGAGAATCCCCGTGTCTGTCTCATGAAAGTGCGCTTTCCGTCATGATTGCCATCGGCCTCGAGGGTTCGGCCAACAAGCTCGGGTGGTGTGATGCTGCACCCTGACGACGGCAGCCCCGCCCAGGTGCTCTCGAATATCCGTCACACATATGTCTCGCCCCCAGGCGAGGGCTTCTTGCCAAAGGATACGGCACGACACCATCGCGCATGGGTGGTAAAGCTTGTCAAGCAGGCTCTCATCCAGGCTGGCGTGAGCGTGGATGATGTGGACTGTATTTGCTACACCAAGGGACCCGGCATGGGAGCCCCGCTTCAGAGCGTTGCCATCGCAGCACGGATGCTGAGCCTGCTATGGGGGAAGGAGTTGGTGGGTGTGAACCACTGCGTTGGTCGTATGTATATCTTGTGTATTTTTTTTTTCTTATGTTCGATATGTTTGTTATGCTCCGTTCTCTTGCTATTGTCTCGAAATTTTGATTTCCCCGCTGTAGCATTCCTTAGCTTCTCATTCCCGTCGCCCAATATTATCAGGTCACGGAATGAGCTTACATATGACTTAGATATCGAGATGGGACGGCATATTACCGGTGCCACCAATCCTATCGTTCTCTATGTCTCCGGCGGCAACACTCAGGTAATCGCGTACAGTGCACAGCGATACCGTATCTTCGGCGAGACCCTCGACATCGCCGTCGGAAATTGTCTGGATCGATTTGCGCGGACCCTACGCATTTCCAATGATCCCGCCCCGGGATACAACATCGAGCAGCTGGCCAAGAAGGGGAAGCGCCTGGTCGACCTCCCGTACACAGTGAAGGGGATGGACTGCTCCTTTTCAGGGATTCTGGCTGCTATCGAAGCGCTGGCGGCTGAGTATGGACTCGACGGAGAAGGAGGAAAGGATGCCGATGATGATGATGACGGCAATGGTTCTCGTGAAGTTGTTGAGATCGACGCAGATAGCAACGTCAAGCCTACGCGCGCGGACCTCTGCTTCTCGTTGCAGGAGACCGTCTTCGCGATGTTGGTCGAAATTACAGAGCGCGCCATGGCGCACGTTGGTTCGAAAGATGTCCTCATCGTCGGCGGGGTTGGCTGCAACGAACGCCTGCAAGAGATGATGGGCACAATGGCGCGTGACCGAGGCGGTCACGTCTTTGCCACCGACGAGCGCTTCTGCATCGACAACGGCATCATGATCGCCCAGGCGGGCTTACTCGCGTACAAGACCGGATTCCGGACGCCACTGGAAGAGTCGACGTGTACGCAGAGGTTCCGGACGGATGATGTTCTGGTGAAATGGCGTGATTGATGGGTAATTTTCTACTACATTCCTTAGCTATTGATGAAGGCGTCTGTTTCTGTCTATTGTATGCATGACTGGTCAAGATCGAAAAAAATGGTATTGTTTCTTTTGAGACCAGAATAAGGGAGAGCGCACGTTTTTTTTCTCGTTCTGTACATACATAAATAGATTTACTATATGAATGCAACCCCGAAATTCTCGCTTCACTTGACTGGCTTGAAGAGAAAACACCTTGTGTTGCCAACGAGTATCTATGCTAGAGGCCAGGGGCCCTTGGTCCTATTATATAGGCTTATTTCTTTCTCAGATGACTGATGAGGTTTAAAGTAGTTTTAGCGGCCTGGGCTACGGCCCGGGTTACTCCCGTCCGCCTGCTGTAGTCGTTGACGGAGACCAGACAGTGTCGCGAGGGGGCCAATTCTATATAACATAGATACAAGAACGAATAAGGAAAAAGAAAAGACTATAAAGTGCAGGCGAGAGGAGTAAGACGGTCTACACATGCATCAGAATGTCTATATTCGGGTAACAATCTCCCTAAGAGCAATAAGAGGATTTCCTTCATCCAGAATGATATTAAAACGCCATCCGCATAGACCTAGACCTGTGCCGCACCATGATATTGGCCCATTTCGTCCTCTCCAAAAGGTCACATACACAATGCCCTTTTTTTAACCACTGTAGAAATATCATTATCATAACAAAAGGAAAGGAGAAGAAGAGGAAGAGGAGGGGGAAAGGGGGGGCTCGATTTTTTCAACCATGGCAAGTCGTGTATTATCATTCCAAGAGTCAGACTGGTCAAGAGAAATGCAAAGAGGTTGGTCATTAATTCAGAACTATATGGAGAATCATCGAATCTTGCTGCTACTCCGTGACATCGCCAGTCGGCTTATACAATATCGTCGTAACATACTGTGTGTCGAGATGTTAGCCCACACGAGAATTCAAGCACGGATACAACGACGGGAATCTACCTTTCGCTTGTATCTTGTAGTCACGCTTGTGGCTAAAACACCATTTTTGATGCTGCTCGTTGCGAGATGGTTGAGAACGGTATGATTGGGATAGTTCAGAACGCTGTTATCATCCTTCAATGGCGTAGTGCCATTCAAGATCGACCTGCCCAGGAAGAGAGGGAGACTGGGAGGCGGGGGAGCATCTGCAATCACGTTTGCGGCCCTCTGGTACGCGGGGCTATCTTCGTCCTTATCGATGTCGAGGAGGAATTGAGGAATAGTGTTACGGAAGTCACCAATAGGGATCTCTTCCTCGGGTTCTTCAGGCTCCTCTTCTCGCTCCAAAATGTCTCCTGCTGGCCCTGCTCTGAAGGCTTCGGGGAGCACTTGAGGTGGATGAACTCCCCGCGGCACAATGGGCTTAATGGTTCGATCACTCTCCCTCCGTGCTTTTTGCCGGTCAACGTCATCTGCACTGACTTCGATATAGTTGACGAGATGGTTTGTGAAATCCACAGCTGTCGGAAGATTGTCCGAAGCCCTCATCTCACCATCGACAATGAACTTCAGGTGGTGTGTTCCGGGCCGAAGCTGCAGGGTCGTTGACTTGACACCCTCCTCGGTTTCACTGTGTAGAATTCAGTCGTTAGAGCATGGGCCAAACGCACAAATCGATAAGAGGGGAAATTTCAGAAAGAAAAATAAAAACTCAAAAGGCACTATCATCCAAGATCTAAAGGAATACGACATACCTCCTGTGCAACCTAAACTTCTTCTCCCAATTCACAAATGTCCCGGTCACGTAGACTCTGTCTCCGGGACCTCTCCATTCAATAACTGTTGGTACGGCTTTTCCCACACCACTCATTGCATAGGATTGCAACTCATCTTCCACCTCGTCTTCATCCACAGATGCATTGTCGAGACTAGCCGCGGCGCGAGACTTCTGGCTGTCTAGCCTGTCATAGTGCAACGATTCCGCCTGCGAGTCTGCGGGTCCATTGATGGGCGAACCTGGGGTCGCGTTCGCATCGCCAATTGGGAGAGGAAGACGAGGAGGTCGCTGAAGGTGTGAGGCTGCATAGTAGGTATTTAGCGGAGGACCGGATGGTGCCACCGATGAATAACCCGAACGCCTTGCACTTGCACGGCCGGAGGAGGGAACTTGGACCGGACTGGACGCTTCCAATGGCGGCCCGTCCCGGACTCTTCTTCCATCACGTTTGTCCGGAGTCTCGTACAATCGATTAGCAGGCTGGGGGATGTTTCGGGACTGCAGACGCTGATGGACCGGGGTCTGGCTATGAGCAACGGGCTGCCCCGTTGCGCTCTCTTTCGAGGCCGACGGGTCAGCCGCGGTGGCCTTTGCGCCAGACAAGGCGTTTATAGATACCCTTCTGTTCACTCTTCTCTCACTGCCAGGGGCGGCGAGAGTGTTGGAAGTTGGTGCTGGTGAATCCCCCGAGGGGCTTTTGGAGGGGTTGTTTCCCATCTGGGGCGGGGAAGGTAGGCACGACTTTGCGGGGGAAGGCTAAGTCGAGATGCCAGCATTGAACGCTGGCCTCGAGAAGAGGACCGGCCAGTGTGGAGGAGGTTGTCGAGGAAGCTTGTTCGGATTATCGAAAGCAAAAGGCTATCGGAATAAGCAGGTAGAAAGGCTGCGCAAGAGACAGGACTGATGCGGTTGTCGACTATGGACTTTGAATGGTCCATTGTTACACGGGAACTTTAGGAGATGACGTCCGTTTAGGGTTTAGGGCAGTTTTCCGCTTCGAGCGTCCGCCAGACGGATACTCCGACAAGATCACTATCAATTGACAGCCCAACTAATAATCTAACAACAACTTTCGTCAAAGACAATTTTTGGAGTTTTGTTGACCGCCTCCATGAACAATGCTCTAGATCGCCACCTACCTCGCATGTCTGCTTAGTTACGAGATGGAGACGTGTCCATGTTAGCTTGCAGTTCACCATCATGGCTGTCATCGGAGCCATTACTACTACGCTATATTACATCATCTACCCCGTGCTCCTTCTTGCAACGGGCTTGTTCTCCGTTGTTTGTGTTTTCCTCATCCCGTTCGTGCATTTGGGACGCATTATTCTATACTTGCTGCTGGTCCCTGTTACAATACTGGCACAATTCGAGGTAAGAACCTGGGAATTTAGTGATTCTATAGAACTTATTGTTTGGTCCTGTTACGGGATTTTATGTTCTTTCCGGCTTCGCATCGTGACTAGAAATTGATGTGTTTGTATATAGCCTCTCTATATCTTCCTCGGAGTGGCTGTGCTGATTGGCGTCATCGCTGGCCTGCTTCTCTATGTCCTGAATCGATCGGTCGGACAGGTATTGCAGTTTCCCCCTTCAGAGTCCAAACAGCAGCTTCGGCAGAAAGGGTCCGAGTTGCTGCAAGATCCCGCCAAAATTCTCCGCCTTCACCAGTGGGGTCAACTACGTTCTCCGAGAGAGGATTTTTCGGTATCTGTTCATCCGCGCGCAAGGGAGAGGACATTCTTCATGGCAGGTCCGTCCGTAAGCAATGATGGCGACAAGAGGTCTAGTGACCTCTATTCGGAGTGGACGAGCAGTAAGGACAAGACTGCGCTGAAAGACAACGGACTGTTCTCTACTACGATTCTCGAAGAGGAGGATGATAATCACGATTCTGAAGATTTCTGAATGGATACCCTGCCTGAGTTTTGTTTCTGCAAATTTACTGTCTACGTTATAATTGACTGGAAAACGATAAACCTAGCTGGCCTGGATATCTGAATTTTCATCTCTCCATTTTCTGGAAGAAAGCCCCGATCAGGGCGTCTTCGGCCCCAGGTCCCACTGGGGTATCGTCATTTATAATTAGGTATGGAGTGGTAGTAACTGGCAGTCTGTAACTACTATTTGGTCCCTTACCTTAGTAACCGTACCTAGGGTCCGAAAGGAAACTATAACTGGGCTGCGCGTGTTTAGCTTTTCGAAGCATCACGTAGCTAAACCTTGCATGGCCACACACACAGGATAGATCTATGTATATCGATGATGTGGCTGTAACGTGGCGCAGGACCGTCGCAAGAGAAGAGTCGCAATTGGCAACCATGGCTGGTGGTACGGGAGACCCGCCGGATCTCGGGAGGAATGACGAGGCCCATGATGACGACTAGCACGAAATCGATGAGGTCGATCGCCAAGTAGGAGAGTACTAAGAATACTCCGTTAGACCCTGCATAAGAGCAGCTAAGTCTTTTCCCTTTCCTTTTTATCTGTCTTCCCTCGAAATTCCCACGTTAGATGGCTTCTTGTTACGTGGCCGATTTGGGGATTGCGTGGAATCGCTGACGAGAAACACTCCGAATTTAGCAGAACATTAACGACGAGAGTTCATTTTATTGGGGCCTGGAGTGTTCATTGGACGAGGGCATGGAGGCTGTGGTGATCATCGTTGGTCGCCTAATAGTACGGCGGAGTAATTGGTCTTGCACAGTACAAAGGAGTTCTTTAGCATCGTTTGTTCGCACGTGCAACTGCTTCGCAATCAAGGTTTGACAGCATAAACTGAGCGATTACTATTCGTCCGATCACAGGTTCCGCTTATCGCGACATATTTGATCATTTGCAAGTGGGTCGTACTGGGGCCAAGATGGACTCCTCCCTCCGTAATTACCTAAGCTAGTTGGGATGAGGGAAAAATGCGAGGGGCCAGAGTCATGCCGGTCTGGAGGAGCATACGGTCCGTACGGAACAAACTACAGTCATTGCTGTCGTCTCACAGAGGCTCTGTGGTCAACAAGAATTAAGGGTCTTTAGAGTTCGGCGATCATAATAAGAATGCGACCGTACTCCGCATGGCAGATGGCTTGCTGGATGATCCTCATTAGCATTCTTGTGCGGGTGGGTCAGGCTTTTCCCACGGGGCATCACAACGCTCACCACTATTTTTCTGACTAATATAGTCTGGACACTAACTAGGTAGTTGGTTAAGTGGCCGACTCCGTATGTACGACACTGATTCTTCCTCCTTCAACCCCTGCATGTCGAAGTAACTCCGCTTCTTTCGCCTTCCTTCAGGGACATTTTTCGACTGTCTCCATTCCGACAGTCGTCCCTTGTCCGTCACAGAACGTGTTGGCGAGGAAGGGCCAGTGTTGGAGAATTGCCCTGCCAATGATTAGTTGACCGGGTCGCACCTCTCCTTAGGTCTGTCGCCGCCATATCGACTGATCAGTATATGACTCAACATTAGCCAGTGTCGCGCAAGTGAACTGTTGTCACCAAGCTCATCTTCAGCGACCGATTGACCTTGCCTCCGGTTGCCTCTGCGTCCATCCGTTCATCCGTGGTTTCTATTTCTCTAAGCCAACGGCAACAATGATGGCACCATTTCGACTACGGACCTTGCTCTCCGCCGTGCTCCTTGTGTCGTTCTTCTGGTGGCTCTACTCGCGACGCCAGTTTCTCGCGTCGTTGGAGACGCACTCTACAGATGGCTCCTTAGGGGACTTTGAGCGCGAAGCTCACATCGAGTTCTGGCGCAAATTCCAGCCGCTGCTCATGCAGTATAAGCCGGATTGCGATCCTCCAGAGAGGCTGGGCACTTCAGGGGCCATTGGGTACAAACCGAAGGATCCGGAGCCTCGACCGGAGCTCGTGGACATGCCTGGAAGGGATGTGGCGAAGATGAAAATGGCACACGACGGCTTTGTGAACGCGATCAAAACTCAAGATCTGCAACTTCATTATACTCCGGGGACCAGAGGCTTGGTCTCAACCGCAGGGGGCTCATACCTGCCAGTTTTGGTGATCTCTCTGCGGATGCTGCGACGTACGGGTTCACAGTTGCCCATGGAGGTGTTCCTGGCAGACCCGGAGGAATATGAGGAATACATCTGCGATGTAGTCCTGCCGTCGTTAAATGCCAAGTGTGTCGTGCTGTCGGAGATTCTCGATTCTGTCCCGGGGGGGATTGAGATCGAGAAATATCAGTTCAAGCCCTTCGCAATGATCTTCTCTTCGTTTGAGGAGATCTTATTCCTAGATGCGGACGCCTTCCCCGTCGACAAGCCAGAATTACTCTTCCAGAAGGAACCATTCAAGTCAAAACACATGGTGACTTGGCCTGACTTTTGGGCGTCGTCAGCCTCGCCGCTGTATTATAGCATAGCCTCACAGGAGGTCCCACCCATGACACTCCGGCAGTCCACCGAGTCTGGCGAAGTGGTCATTTCCAAAAGAACCCACGGAAGTGTCCTTCTGCTGTGCACTTACTACAACTATTGGGGCCCAACCCATTATTACCCCTTGCTGTCACAGGGTGCTCCAGGAGAGGGTGACAAGGAGACGTTCTTGGCGGCTGCCATAGCTTTGAATAAGCCGTTCTACCAAGTCAGCGAACCCATTTGTGCCATTGGGCATGGTACCGCGGGTGGTCTGGCTGGCTCTGCCATGGTCCAGTTCGATCCTTCGGAGGACTATGCGTTGACTCAGAAGGGCGAGTGGCGTGTAAATGGTTCGACTGCGCCTGCGCCTCGGCCATTCTTCGTCCACGCCAATTTTCCCAAATTCAACCCAGCTACCGTCTTCACAAAGCAGTATGTGAATCCTGCCTTTGAAGATGATGGCAAGACCTATACACGCGCCTGGACCATCCCCCACCCCGTCATTGAGGCGCTTGGTGACACGGAGAAGCACTTCTGGGAGGAGATCATGTGGACGGCATGTGAACTTGAAACGAAGTTCCGGAGTTGGAAAGGCCAGAAGGGCATTTGCCAGGGTGTGAAGGATTACTGGAACGCCATCTTTGCGACCCCTGAGACTGTAGCACTATGAGGGCTATTCTACGGCCTAGCCCCTATCTGACTCATCAGGTTGTCGGCGTCCTGATGTCGCTTCACTGTGGCGGCATACTTATTGCTCGTGGCTGGCGAATTTGAAGGGTCATCGTGATGGCGTGATACGGAACGCTATCCACGATCAACCATCGATTATCCGCATGCGATATGCCGCAGCAACAGCGCCAGAACGTCTTTCCGTCCTGGAACAGATACCTCGAACAGGTTCTCGACTCGCTATCTTTAATAGCGGATCAGAATGCCTGCGATGCAGGATTCCTTCCCCCTTCTGATTATCGGCCTACCATGAAGGAGGAGGAGGCTATAGAAGGGGTCTTTCATGAAAAGATAGCCTCATTCCTCGCTGTATAGGGGGGAAATTTTTGATCCGAGGACCCAGAAATCTCGCCGATCATAGCCATGAGCCCTATCAGGTTAAGGGATCTAAACCCGCCCCCAGATGAAGAACAGGTCATTCTCCGTATGACAGTCACCAGTGTTTTCGCCTATCCCCCAACTTGCACTTCTGGCAAGGCAAGTTATGCAAAATGTATTCTTTTACACGGTCCGTATTTTATTCTGCGTGACTAGATCTTCGAATGATATTCATGTACAATATAACCCATGTAATATTCATGTCTATACAATGTCAAGTGGCAAATCGGCCTTTTTGCGCGTCGTAATATCTAAGTCTATAGTATTCTTACACCATATATAACTAATTGTACAGGATAACAACGCTATATTACAGATAACCACCGAAACAAACCATTCCCAATCATTTCTCTTCTTTGGGCCTAGTTCTTAGGTGGTGACTTTTCTACGCGTCTTACGGCCGCCTGGAACAATTCCTTACATGGTACCCGGCTCTCCAGTTTTGCGCACAGAAGGAACGCACCGCTTAGCTTGCGATGCAAGCTGTACGTCTCTTCCGGGGGAGGAGTGAGCCGCTCGCGGAGCATGACGGGAATGAGAGCGCGGACCCGGTCGGTGATGGTTTGGTTCCGGAAATCATAGATATCCGGGGCGGAATCCACGAATGGCTCGGCGAGGGTAAGGATGGAGTTGATGTGCGCGTCAACCATCGTCTGTGATTCGTAGCCCGTGAGGTAACCCAGTTTGACGGAGAGCTCCCGACATGCCTCCTTGTCATTGCGGGATGCAGCAACAAGGGTGCGGACGTACGTGTCGATGAATTCTTCCGGGTACTCACGCGAAGCGCCAAAGTCGAGAAGTTCAAGACGATTGGTCTCCGCATTGTACAGGAAGTTGGTCCAGTTGGGATCGGTCTGCATATACCGGAATTCACAGATCTCCCGAAGACAGAGGCGAAGGATCTGAGTGCCGATCCAGTCCCGCTGTTCCTGTGTGAAATTCTTGACCTTCGTGACTGCAATTCCATTCATACGCTCCATTGTCAACACCTGCTTCCCAGAAGCTTCATGAATGATTTCCGGAATGACAAAGACGGGGTCGTCCCGCAATAGCTGCCTGAAGCGTTCTCCACATTGGGCTTCTCGGATGTAGTCGCATTCCCAAGCCAGTTCCGTACGAGCATTGGCAATGGTCTTGTCAAGGAATAGTCCCTTGGGCAACAAACGCGACGCAGTGAGCAGAATGGAAAGGTTATTTAGATCTGAGTCGATGGAATCGGCAACGCCTGGATATTGCACCTTGACGGCCACTCGTTGGCCATTCTTCTTCAGGACAGCGCCATGGACCTGTCCTATCGACGCAGCAGCCATGGGTATCTCATCGAATGATTCGAATAGGTCCCGCCAATTGGGGCCCAGATTTTCACTGAGAACCTGATCACGTTGAAAGGCTGGCATGTAATCCGCTCGGTCTTGGACACGCTGCAGCACCTCTGCTATGGGTTCTGGTAGCATCCTCGAGTCTAAAATCCGTCAGAATACGCTGGATATCAACTGAATATACCATACTGACCTTGGAAACTCATCATTTGTCCAATTTTGAGAGCAGCGCCTCTCATCCGCGATAGCTTGGCGACAAGGCGCTCCATGTTCCCGGCACTAAACATTACCGACCCAGTGCCGCCTTTCTCGTTTCCTGTGGCCCTTCGAAGGGTTTCACCAAGAGCACCAAACGCCATCGAGGTAGCTAATCCACCATATTGCCATAATCTCCCCAGCCGCGAGGAAGGGACACGGGATTCTGACATTTGATAAGGAACATCGCCATTAGATGGCAGCTCTGCTGCTTTGGTCTACGGAGCTCTGTCAGCTGATGATCGTATCATCCCTAGGAAAGGTGTGAAACTCTGACCTCTTGGCTTGATGGCATAGATTCTGCTGACGTAGATCCAGGCTGCTCCGTTTTCTCATGTTCGAGAGCAGAGGTGGACACGGAAAACTCTTTAGAAGCATCCTCTTGAGCATCCAGGACTCGGACTTGGGACGTGCTTTCAACATCATCCTTGCTTTCAACATAAGTCTGCGTAGGAGCTGTTGCATTTGAAGGAGCGTTCCGTGGATATGGACGTTTCTCCTTTGACAGGAGGATATTCGCAACTCTTGGGCTGCGAAATATGTTCCTCATCACATCTTCGGAAGGCTCATCGGATTCGGATACAACTTTGGATTCAGATACAGTGTCTCCATTAGAACGACGAACAGGGGAAGAGAAGACATCCGAGTTAATCTTCCCATCATTGCCTTCTTGGACATCCCCAGTAACCTTGGGCACCTTCTCTCTGGGAAGTGCGGAATGTACCGGTCCAGCTTTCGAGGATGGAGTATAGAAAGTATCCTGGCCCTTGCTGATGTTGAGGTCACCGGAGCTTCCGTTTAGGCTGTGTTCAGCCTGCTTGCCGGGAATCTGAGACTTCCCCTGTCGTTGAAGCTTCCCGGCCTCCTCCGCAGAAAGAGCTGATGAACGTTCACCAAGCCCATTATTCACAGATGTATTATCCACCGAGGGCGCAATCCGAACTCCATCCCCTTTCGCAGTTTGTCCTTGGTCATACGGCGGCTTCCCGGGCTGCGTGCTTGGGGCGAACGTCGGCGGTGGCGGCTCGTTGAATCTTCGAGCTAAAGCTGCTGCTGCCTGAGCTGTAAGTATAAGATTATCGGCCTGCTGTTTGACGCCTTTGGTGAGCGACGATGTCCGCGTATAGACATCTAGCTGGCGCTGGCGCACGGCAAGATGTTTGCCGGCGACGGATTTGGCGACATTGAAGAGTTGGATAGCATCCAGAAGGCGCTTCCCCGACATGCTGGTATAGGCAGTGCAATCTGTTCCTCCCTATGAAAATCTCATGGTGACATTAATCAAAATTGGAGCCTCAATTGCGGCTTGCAATGCAACAATTGCTGTTGCTGATGAGTCAATGAAGCCCTTGGATGAATTAATTTGCTGTAACATTTTCTGCCTCCGGTTACCGCCGCGGGACCTCAATGGGGTATTACTCCGTAGCTTCCGGCTGATAACGGACCGCATCGCGTCTTATCAATCTCAACCCTACAGCCGCCGCAACCCCTCAATGACCGAAGAAGCCGACCAAGAAGGTCTTGAAAAGGAGATCGCCGATCTTGAGCTCCGCCTAAGTCATGCGAGGAGTCGCCTAAAAAAGGCCAGGGCATCTCCCAATAGAGATGCGTATACGAATTTCAGCTTCGACGATGGTGTGTTCACGCCCAATTGTCACCTCTGTATCTTTATCATTGCGATCTGTCTGTCGCACAGACGAGGTCCTAGTACTAATGTATGCCTTTTTGTTTCTAGGACGAGCACTAGATTCATCCTCAATACACTCTCTGTTACTGCTTTCCGATTCGGCCTTGCCTTTGGGGTCATTCGCCTATTCCAGCGGATTGGAGTCCTATATTGCGCACAACAGACCTCTCCCCTCGACGATCACTCCGGTCGCCTCTTTCCAGCGCTTTCTGAAGCTCTCGATCGCTTCGGTGGCCAGTACTTCTCTGCCGTACCTCCTCACTGCGTATCGCTGCCCGGAGCAGTTAGAGACCTTGGATAATGACCTGGATGCCTCGACACCCTGCACAGTGGCGCGGAGGGCGAGTGTCGCACAGGGGAGGGCGCTTCTGAGTGTCTGGGAACGAGCTTTTCAACAGACATATGCCTGTCACCCTGGTGCGCACCTGTGTGATGATGATGGTGATGCAACGAAGACCGCCGCCCTCAAGGCGATTGCAAACTTCTCGGAAGCATTGAAATCTAGCACCGATGAGCTTGGACCAAGTGGACATCTCGCACCGTTATGGGGTGCTGTTTGTCTCGCAATGGGCATCGATATCTCCCTAGCGGCGTATGTCTTCATGCTTAATCATGCGAAAGCGGTCCTCAGCGCCGCTGTGCGTGCCTCCGTAATGGGCCCATACCAGGCTCAGAGTATCCTGGCCAGTAATGACCTGCGAGAATTGATCATGGAGAGAATACAGCGAGAATGGGACACTAAGCCGGAGTATGCAAGTCAGGTTGCTCCCGTGCTAGACCTGTGGATTGGGAGACATGAGCTGCTTTACAGCAGAATTTTCAATTCATGACGCACACTACTCGCGTCGTCTCGATACCCTACGCTTATTTTGTCAAAAATGGGGATACAAAAACAGACATAGCGCCATGTTATCATCGCACTTTCTCATCGAAACATTCACTATTCGTACAGTACAATCTGCAACAAGAGACAATGTGTTGCCGTCCGTCCCACAGATGTGTGCCTTGAACACCAAGTGGGTAACCAAACCAAATCGTAGTCCGCATATCCGCCGATTTCCTCCTCAAGGACAAAAGAGAGAAAGCAGAAAAGAAAAAAAAACCCTATCGTGCAGGAACATCGGAGCAACCCAAGGAAATTCTAACGCCAGTCATTCTCCAGATACCACAAAACACCGCCGTGCTGCCGAAAGCTTAGAGAATAGTAAACCACCGCAGTGACCTTAACCCGAAACAAGACGAAATGGAGAATAGAAAAGGAGAAGGAAAAAAAGTATTGTACATGAAGGGGATAAACCCAAGGGAAAATAGCCAAGGTTGAAAGAAAAGAGGGTAAGGAACAGTATGTCAAATTAGAGAGTAATGTGCATATAGTCATTGCTTCCAAATGACTTATTGCAGTTAGGGCACTTCCGCATACGAGAGGTCTGGCGCTCTTCGACGCACTCCCTGCAGAAGACGTGACCGCATGTTTTGATTACGGTGTTCTTGAAATTACGGCGACAGACTGTGCACAAAGCAAGTGTCTGCATCGACAAGGTCAGTTACTACAGATAATGAGAGGAGTTGGTGCCGAACTTACCCGTAGCATTTCATACTCTGAGGAAGAGTTTCCTAGACTCTTCGATTTCCACGCCTCGAGACTCTTTTTCGTATCCGCAAGGGTCGATTTCAGACTCTCAACTTCGGTCTCTGCCCTGCGACAGGCTGCTGCAGTACTTGCTAAAGCCGAATCTTTCGACGTTGCCAAGTTCTTGAGTTCTTCAACTTGCGCTTTCAGACCATCGATGACAATATTGCTTTCTGTCACCTGTTGTTGCGCAGCACGATATTTATCGGTTACCGCATTCAACGCCTCTTTGCCTTCAGCGACCTGTTTCTCCAAATTCGTGAGTAGAGAGCGTGTCGCAGCTTCCGCGTCCTTCAGCTGTGATACGATGTCGGAGCTCTTGGAGTTCTGCATTCTCAACGTCCGGACCTCGGATTCCCGTGCCTCCTTGCTCTTCATGGCAGCGAAATATTTCTGGTCGGCCTTGGACTTTTCCGCTATCAACCGTTGGACCTTCTCCTCAAGAGCGGTAAATTCTGCAACTTTCTGAGATGCCAATCCCGAGTACTTCTTGCAGACCGTTTGCATTGAAGTGAGTTCATTGTTGAGCATCGCGTATTGGCGCTCCAGCACTTGATATTTGGTCCGCAGCTCCTCAACAGGGATTTCCTCAATATTCTGTGGTGCATCTTTTAGTCCATCCACCTTCAAACGCAACCTCTCTAATTCAGACTCCAAAGCCTGAATCTGAGCTTCCCGTGCCGCCGCTAGTTCCTGGATCTTGGTGATGGCAGTTTTCTCTTGCTCTTGAGCAGCCTTCCTCATTTGCTGATCAGCGAGAAGCTCGTCACGGGCATGCCTGATTCTAGCCAAATCTGTCTCGGCTTTTGCCAATTGCGCCTCCTTCTCTGCGATGGCGCTCTGTGTCTCAGACTCAAGTTGATTGCGATAAGCAGTCCGCTCAGCTTGAAACTTTTCAGCTTCCTGGCGAAGTTGGGCATTCACCGCTTCAAGGTGGTTGATACGGTTGATCACGTCTTCATGCTGGGATTTCAATCGCTTGAAGAGATCGGTATTGGCATAATCCTCGTCCGTAAGCTTTGAGTTCTACAAACATCACGTCAGATGCACTATTCCTCTCAGAATGAAATTTAACAGCCTGGGACTCACCTTCAGATTCAGAGCAGTAATCTGGCTGTTTAACTTCGCATTTTCCGCCTCCAAAGCCTCTAACTGTTCCTTCTGCTTCTGAGAAACAGCAAGTGTCTTATGATAAGCCTCCTCTAATTCGGCATTCTTTTCGCCACCGGTACTGACGCCATTTGCTGGAGTACCTTCTTGATTCGCGGATGCCGCACTATCGCCTCCGGGTCGCTGTGCACCAAGCAGGTATTGCTTCTCCAGTTTCGCAACAGTCAGACTTCGCGCTCGATCAAGTTTCTTCTCGGCAACCATATATCTCAGGGATGCTTCCTCCAATTGTTCTTCCAGCTGCTGTTTCTCGGATAGAGCCTTTTCAAGCTCCGAGATGTGTACTTTCTCTTCCGCCAGTTTCTTCGCTAATTGGCTCTGTAATTCCGAAACTTCCGGGGAATGTTTTGGCGTGTGGGAAAGCAACCTTGAGATAGTATCTTTGATATCGTCAGAGCGAGCTTTGAGATGGTTCTCGAAATTCTCATTATCTTCGAACAATAGCGAGGTGCGGAAAGTTTGTTGATCTGTAGGCCTTATTAGCACAAGCCCAGCACACTCTTCAGCAATCACAATGCAGGGATCGTGGAACCTTTTTCCTTCTCATCTATATCACCCACGAGGATCTTAACCTCATCAATCAACTAGGAAAACCATAATGTCAGACCTTTATCGCAGCAACGAGAACGATATCATGACTGCTTACTTGCTTAAACCATATGTCGATGATTCGAAGATGATCGTTGTGGTAAGTAGCCGCTTTAGTCATTTCTTTCAGCTTAGACTCCAAAGTGAGTTTCTCCCGCTTGAACTCCTGCATCTGACGCCATATCGCGTCCTTTTGAAAGCGCTATCCGCAGAAACCCGTCAGCAAGTGCCCAGAAGTTCTTATAGTCTGCAAAGACGCGCCATATCTTGACGATCACTCGTATAATCTCATGATCCTATCAGGGTAGACTCACCTCTAGGTCATCCTTCCAGGGCATGTCAGCATCCGGGTGAGGCTTATTACCGTTGACAGATGTCGCCTGCTTCTTTAACGGAGGCGCAGAGTCATTATGGTCATAACCGGCGGGTCTCTTCCGGTCTTCCATCTTGACAAGACCGGACTCGGAAGACGTAACGGGGGATGCTTCGACGGCCGGCATCAGTGGCTATCGCGACGGATAGGTGGCGACGGCCGCAGGGAATCAGCCAGAAATGGCCAGTGACTGCAGATGTCCCTGAGACCGGCGTGCGACGCAGAAACCGAAGAGATGGGAAAGGGAAAATGGGGTGAGGGTGAGATAAGCAGAGGACAGACTCCAAAAGACAGGAGGATTTTCGACTTCGGCCGGCCGTTAGCGTCTCCCTAGCGCCTCTCACGTGACCCAGCCCACTTTTCCCCCAGACTTGTCGCCGTTCATCATCGACGACACAGAGCTTGAGCCACGCACGTAGCCCAGCTTGTGAAAGCCAATCTGAGCAGCGTTCCACACAGAATCCCACGGCTTGTCGCTATGTGACCTGGACTCAAGAGCGCTGAGCGAACATGGTGTCGTTTTCGAGCTCTGCAGTCAGTATGTGCATCTACAACCCCGCTCTGCGTTTTATCCTAATCTTGTTCTTTGTGCAGATAAGTCTGGCAAGAAGTTCGCACCAAAAGCACCCGTTCGTCGTCCTGGTGCTACTGCTACTACTCCTGCGCCGAGAAAACCCAGTGTCGATAGCCCAAGTACCTCACAAACTCCTCAGCCGGCCGCCGGCGACAATGTTGTCCCCCCGCCTTCAACCACTGAACCCGTGAATACGGCAACAACGACTTCTGAGGATACGCACGAGCCGGAGCCGGAGATCCATAAACCGGATGATGTCCCACAAGTAAAACCCTCGAAGCCAGCAGAAACAGCAATCCCAATCCCCAATCCCTACCCCAAAACCGAGGCCTTCGCCCCCACCTCGGAAGCGCCCTCAAGTGAACCGCAAGAATCTATACGTCAGAAACGGTCTGAATCCGTAGAGACTCCGATAGCTATACCAACTCCGACCTCAAAGCACAAACCTTCGATCTCTACCACTGAACCAGCCACGGTCGAGCCATCTCCGAGTGCCCCTCAACCTTCGCCGCGGGCACACGATGTGTCTACAGCAGAAAACGTAGGTTTACGATCTCAGGATGGACGGGAAGTTCCCACATCGACAAGGAGAAGCCAAAGCATCGAGTCTCGTCATGGACCTCAGGGCCCATCTGGTGACAATCAGATTTCTGTGACTACTGAGGTTTCACCTCCACAGGAGGACCCGGCACAAGTGCGACCAGCGAAACGCATCAAGGTCTCTGAGGCAGAAGCATCTGCTGGCCGCACCGAGAGCGTTCCGTCACCAGCGGCGACTTCGGAAACTCCTGAGCCGCAGGCGCTTACACAAACGCAGAGCGAGACCACGACTCGGGCTACCAGCAAGAGGGGCCGAAAGGCGACCAAACCAAGAAAGAAACGAACAGCAGGAGACGGAAATGGGGAAGCCGCAGCAGATTCGACTGAAGGCAAAAGAAAGCGTACTCGAAGGAGGCGGTCACCGACACCTGAAGGTGCGGAACTCGTGGAGATTGTTCCCGCAGTTGTCAAGATGTCCGAGCTGTGTAAGGATCTTCGGACTGGGAAAAAGTCAAAGCGTGAGATGGAGTTGCGAAACATGGAGTTAGCCGAGATGGAGCGCAAACAGAAGGAGAAAGAAGAAGGGCGCAAAGCCGGAACTCCGATAAAGCAGAATTCAGAAAATGGTGGATCTTCGTTGGCAGATGATATCGAGCCGCCGCAGAAGAAGCCACAAGCTGGGCCTCGCATGAGGATCGTCAACGGAGAGATTGTGATCGATACGGCGTCACTGCAGGTTGATCGCCACGCTGATGCATCCAGAGATGCTGGCGAGCTGGAAGATGTGATTGAAAACCCGCTCACCAGAAAGATCAACCAGGCGACATATGGAAAGCGGACCAAGACGGAGTCTTGGGACGAGGAAATGACGGAACTCTTTTATCGAGGATTGCGAATGTTCGGGACTGACTTTATGATGATCAGTAAAATGTTCCCAGGAAGATCACGGCGTCAGATCAAACTCAAGTTCAACAACGAAGAGCGCCGTGATCCTGAGCGGATCAAACAGGCCCTGATGGGACCACGTGAACCTATCGATATCGCAACGTATTCGGAGATGACCAACACCGTCTACGAAGATCCTCGGGTCATACAGAAAGAATTAGACGAGGAGAAAAAGCGGATTGAAGACCAGCACGCCAAAGAGAAGGAGGCTCAGGAAGAACTTCTGCGTAACCCGATTGGCGCTGGGAAGGATGTGATACCAAGCATCGAAGAGGCTGGTGCACGCGGTCAGAAAGCCAAGTCTCGCAATGTTAAGAAAGCAACTACTTTCAAAGGAGGCATGGGTGGGGGCACGGAGGAAATATTGGGTTCCATTGATGACTTACCAATCTCTGCTTAGAGGTCGTGTGATGTGTTGTTCGGGAGGGATAGACTGGACCTGGATGAGGACGGCGTTTCGGGTTCCTGCCGATGTGTCGGCCACGAAGGCTCCACGGGGTACTTCATTGGGAGGCATTTTCCTTCGTTATCGGCTGAGCCGAGTGTGTATGTCTAGCTTGCAATAGTCTTTAATGAACAACGGCCTTTTTTTAGTAAATTACTTCTTCCATGTTCTCGTATGGATTGAGCAGGAGTAAGATTTTCCTTCATGAAGACATTTTCATTCTCGTCATAATCGGATCTGTTTGCTAGCCAATACAACAGACTCGTGCGTCCTCACCTCCGCCTCGTAGTACCAAATCCCGTACTGGGGCTGGTTGAAGAGAAGCGCGGTGGTTCACCTGAACTACCTTCACCTGGATCGTAGAAACTACCCCGAAAGGATGGACCTGGCCTCCAGCCCCGTACGGTGTTCCGCTCTTGGCCTCTCCGTCCCATTTGATATCCAGCCATGGCGCCAGTCAATGCTCCCGTCCAGAATCCTGGCGTCCACGATGAGCCGAAAGTCGGTGGTTTAAATCGGCTTCCAGGGTTGTAATCGTATGGGGGAGGTGGTCCTCGTGGATCATCATCACCTCCTCCACCGCCGCCGCCCCATCCCCATCCCCATCCCCAACCATTATTTCCTCGTCTATTACGGCCGGAGCGGAACCAGCGGAACCATTCTGCACAGAATGTTGATAAAATGAAAGCGACACAGCCGAAAAATAGGGCGAAGAAGAGGATGTTGGCGAGCGTTTCCCACAGCCCGGTGTCGAAGATCCGCCATCGGTCTGCATTACGCAAGTGTCCGAATCGCCTCTCGCCCTCCTCTGTCAGAAGTAGGCGATACTCTACCCCGCAGCTTCCCTTGAGCACCCATTTATCATCTGGGCTCCGATATCCCTCGCAGATCACGTCCGTGGCTCCAAGCTTAAACTCCGGCGGGAGTGAAGCGGTACAGGTCCACTGTATATCCTCCTCATCATAATCGTAGCCTTGATTCACGCAGCGCATCGTTTCAATCGGATAAAGTTTGCATATTCTCTGGGAAGGACCCGTACAGGTCAGTTGCGGGATCGGGGAGGTCCTCCGTCCGGTTGTTAGACGGTCTGCGTGCAATGTCAGAGAATGGACCTGGGATAGCAGAATCGCATCCTTTCCCGGAGGTCTCCCAATGGAGAGCGCAGGCGAAAAGAAAGAGAGCAGGAGAATAAATGCTGCAGTGTAAGGTAAGTACATTTTCGGAAGCTGTCTGCAGAAAAAGAAAGCCGCAAAGTAGATAATAGTTAGTAATATCAGAGATGAAGCCAATACTGCAGCCTGAGACGATCGAGTTGGATGGGGATCAGAGGCACATAATGATTCTCGTCAGAGCACAGCACCCGGCTGAGGAGGACAAAGAAGACCTGATTTCATTTCATCTCGCCAATAGAGTGCAATCCCTTGTTGTCTGGTCGAATGTCCAGCGTGGCCTTTTCGAAGGTGGGAAGAAGAGTGACGCAAGATGATAAGATCGGGCCCGATCCGATAAAAATAGCCTATGGAAGCTTCAAGGTTAGCGGCGGCGATCGGCCCGGAGGAACATCGCTTTTCTTCTCCCGCCGCCGTGAACCTACGCAAGGCACCACGGACTGGTCAATTTATTTCGGCGAGGGATGGTGGGCACCACATGGATCTAGAGAGTGCGGTCTACCATGTCTCAGTGCTCGCAGAGTACGTTGGCGATTCTCACTGCGTCTTATGCAGAATTAGCTGACTGTTCTTTCTTCAGATGACGTTTCTGCTCCCCCCGTCCAGTCCTCGTAAGGACCCCCTTCGTTGCGCCGTTCGCTGAGCCAGAACCTAACACGATCATAATACAGCCTTTCCTTCACACAAGGCCTTCTTGTTGGCCAACTCTCGGTGGTGCTGCTGATTGGTGCCTTCATCAAGTTCTTCATCTTCGGCGAGGCACCGGCGCCACCGTCTCGGGGGCTAGCAAGTCGCACCGCGGCCCATCGCCGTTCCTACTCGATCAACAACATCGACCAGAATGGGAGATCGCTACGTGAGAAACCCTCAAACTCTAACGCCCTTCGACCGGTTCCGTCATCGTCGACGAATACGCGTTCCATCCTGAGAAAGACCTACTACAACGCGGTTCCGACAAACCTGTCCAACAAACATGGGCGTAATCGGATGCAGCATTCTACACACCAGCCGGAGTCTCTGGACTGGTTCAATGTGTTGATTGCGCAGACAATTGCTCAGTACCGACAGACTGCGTATCTGCTGAAGGACTCACCCACGTCGTCCATTCTTGACTCTCTCTCAGCGGCGTTAAACAACCCCGAGAAGAAACCCTCCTTTATCGACACTATCAAGGTCACAGATATTTCCCTGGGCGAGGAGTTTCCGATATTCAGCAACTGCCGTGTCATCGCGGTGGACGACCCCAACTCTGACGGAGGGAGGCTTCAGGCCTTGATGGATGTCGATCTCAGCGATGACAACCTGTCGATTGCCATTGAGACCTCTCTAATACTGAACTACCCGAAGCCGTACTCTGCCATCCTTCCTGTCGCATTGTCTATCTCCGTAGTTCGGTTCTCCGGGACGTTGTGCATTTCCCTTATTCCCGCTTCCACGTCTCCTGCATCACACACTGCGTCCCCGTCCCCGTCTCCCGAGACAGCACAGTCTCATGGCAAGCCCTCGGACGCCAATGGATCAGCTGGCAACTCTCAAGATGCCTCGAATTCCCCTCCTAAAACGGGCGTTCCCAAAACGAACCTCGCATTCTCGTTTCTGCCAGACTATCGTCTTGATCTCTCTGTCCGCTCCCTTATCGGTTCTCGAAGTCGCTTGCAAGACGTGCCTAAGGTTGCGCAGCTGGTGGAGGCGCGTGTCCACGCCTGGTTTGAGGAACGAGTAGTCGAGCCCCGAGTCCAGGTAGTCGGATTGCCTGACTTTTGGCCCCGGATGGGCAGGACTGGTGTCAGACCTGGTGAAGATGCTGAAGCCGGAGCCACAGCAGCGGCGGCGGCAGCGGCGGCGGCCGCAGCGGCAGCGTCGCGAACAGAGCAACCGAATCCAATGGACATGCCTTCCCGACCGGATGACGCAGGGCATGACAGCGACCGAGAAGCGGAGGGATTGAGGTACCGCGGAGGGTCTGAATTCGGGTCTTCGAATCTTGACGGCATGTCTAGATCCACTGGCGTGTACGGCGGCGCCAGCAGTCATCGGAACCAGAGCATGATGGGCGAGGGCAACAGCCGCAGTTCTAGTGCCGCAGGAGCAGAGCACTTGGAAATGCCCGGGTCAATGCCCGGCACTGTTCCCGTGCTATGATGATGTTGATATCCACGTTTCTCATTGTTTTATACAGGATTTCTGTCTCATTTTTTTTCTGTTTGTTAACGTCTATTCAGGGAGGGGAAGCAGCGAGGCTATTGACCTAGCAGCCTGTCTTCAGCTTAGACTGATGATATGAACGGAAGACTATACATAGCACATCTTGTGTTAAAGGAAACACCAGAACCAGAGACCATCAAATCCACACTTCCTTCATCTTCCCAATTCGTATGATGAATAAAATCGTCTACTCCGTATTCGACGCAATACAAATTGTAGAGCAAATCAATAGTAGAAAGTTATGCTTACTCTAATTTTTTAAGGATAATAGTAAAAAAAAAGGAACAAAAATATATGTTCATTCAACAAGCAATTGATATTGGTATCTAGAGAATTTTGTGAAATATCATTCTTTTTTTTATCTACAAAATTCATTCATTTCTTCATGGCTACGTCGTTCCGGGTCCCAGACAGACAGACAGACGGCATCTGCTTGGGGGAAGATATGCGGGAGAAATATCGGAAATCTTTCAATTCTTCTTCTTTTTTCCTTTCGGCCTTTAGTTGGCAGGAACAGGATGAGCGCCTCTCGACTCGAGGTAGGCCTTTCGGTGAGGGTTGGCATCGACTTCGGGGCCGCGGTTGAGCGGAGTCCACTTAGGCTCGTCCTGGAAGAGGCGCATGGCTTTGATATACTGTATCGGAGAGGTTATCAATTCAGTCCATCTGTGATGTTCCAGAGGAGAGACAGTTGAGAGAGACGCCTTACGTTCTTGTTGTCGGTCGTGAAGCGGTGGTAGATGCCCGCCGGCAGAATGATGAGATCATCCTTCTCGACACGAATACGCACCCACTCGTCGTCGACGCCGCGGACATCGAAGAAGCCATCTCCGTCCAGGATGTAGCGAATCTCCTCGTCCTCGTGCAGGTGCTCTTGGAAGAAGGACTTCACTTTCTCCTCGTAGACGGCGCCCATCTTCTCAGGGGAGACGGTGATCTCATCGCGGTTCTTGTAGCCGCGTTCCTTGGCAATGGCATCGACCTGAGCAACCTCGGGGCAGCGACGGTAGAGGACACCAAGCGAAGCCAGGTAGGCTTCGTCCACGGGACGGCCCGAGTCGTGAGGTTCGCGCTGGTCGCCCTGGTAGATGAAATCTGGTCAGCCATGTACATAAAAAGTCCGAGAGAATTAAAATGAGGGGTACTGTGGGATGGAATGATGAATGATTTGGTGATGCGCATTGAATGGGACAGCAATCCTGTACTCACAGGCTCGTTGTCGAACCAGTATGCCTTCATTTTTGATAAGGAAATAGAAGTTTGATTGATTCCAAGGACGTCGGGTGCTGACTAGAGGAAGAAGCTGACAATCGTTCCAATATATATATGTACCCCGGCGGTGTCTATTTTATGGCCTTCCAGCCGACTTACCGCCGTCAATAGTGCTTACTGCAGCACTGTCCTGGATGCGCTGACGAAGGTGGAAATAAAGACCTCAGTTCCAATCCACCGTTGTCGCCTTGGGTCCATCAGCAAGAAATACCGATCCAGGCCCCGCAGTTGGCGCGTGCAGATCCAGGATGGCGCCATCGGACATCGACTTATGCAAGACCACGAGCCAGAACCGGCTTGGTTGCCTAATTGGTGAGTTCCCTATGGACCGCCCTGCAAGTGATTAGTAATTGGTTGGCGGATCGCCGAGTGGAGCAGACAGGCTTGTCCACGTGATTTTTCTGGTCTATCGGCTCCAGGGACATTGTTGGAGGTCGAAAATAATCAAAACATCCAGCAGCTGGCATCAACTCGTCACAATGGCCTTTCGGGCTCGCTCGTTGGCCTTGTTTTCCCGGGGCCACAGCCCTCGAACGAGGATTGTGGCCCAATTTCGTGGTTTGGCTACTGTCTCTGACAGCACACGGTAGGTGATGAGCTCCTATCCCCACAGATGGCTCAATGTGTATGACTGATTGTTTTGTCGATAGGCCATACGATGTAATCGTCATCGGAGGTGGTCATGCAGGCTCAGAAGCCTGTGCTGCTGCTGCTCGTTCCGGCGCTCGAACCGCCCTGATCACCCCGTCTCTCAACAACATCGGCGTATGCTCGTGCAATCCCAGCTTCGGAGGAATCGGCAAGGGTACAATAATCAGGGAGATAGATGCCTTAGATGGTGTGGCAGGCCGAATCATCGACAAGGCAGGGATCATGTTTCGAATTTTGAACCGATCCAAAGGGCCCGCGGTTTGGGGCCCGCGAGCACAGATTGACCGGGACCTCTATAAGAAGTATATGCGAGAGGAGCTGCTCGCAACAGAGGGTTTGAGTATCCTGGAAGGCAAGGTCGAGGACATTGTGATTTCACGAGAAGGATTGGATGGGACTCCCGGGGTCAAGGGCAAAATCGTCGGTGTCAGACTTGAGTCCGGCGAAGTCATCCCAACCGGCCGTGTCGTGATCACAACCGGGACATTTCTTGGTGGAGAGATTCACATCGGACTCGAGACCTTTTCATCAGGCCGAATGGGAGAGGCTGCGACATTTGGCCTAAGCAAATCGCTCAGGGAAGCGGGCTTCCAACTGGGCCGCTTGAAGACGGGCACTCCGCCGCGACTGGATCGGAAGACCATCGATTTCTCCATCCTTGAAGTTCAGCGGGGCGATTCCCCTCCTCAGCCATTCTCCTACCTCAACAAAACGGTGCAAATTGGCGATGAGGGTCAGCTGACGTGTTGGATGACCCATACCAACGAGGCCTCCCACGATATCATCCGGGCCAACCTGGACAAGTCAGTGCACATCCGTGAAACCGTCAAGGGCCCGCGATACTGCCCTTCTCTAGAGTCCAAGATTCTACGCTTCAAGGACAAGAAACAGCATCAGATTTGGCTCGAGCCCGAAGGATTGCCGCCAAATGAAATCATTTATCCAAACGGTGTTTCCATGACGGTCCCCGCGGACGCTCAGTATGCCATGTTGCGGACGGTTCGCGGGTTGGAAAACGTTCGGATGCTGCAGCCCGGCTACGGTGTGGAGTATGACTACGTCGATCCACGCAACCTCAAGCCTACCCTAGAAACAAAGCTCATCAGTGGTTTATATCTGGCTGGCCAGATCAATGGCACCACGGGCTATGAGGAGGCTGCTGGTCAAGGTATCCTGGCGGGAACGAATGCCGGGTTGGCAGCTCAAGGCCGGTCTCCAATCACCCTTTCGCGTTCTGATAGCTACATCGGAATCATGATTGACGACCTGATCACCAAGGGCGTTTCAGAGCCCTACCGCATGTTCACTTCTCGCAGCGAGTATCGCATTTCGACCCGCTCCGACAACGCTGATTTACGCCTCACAGAGATGGGCCGGGCCGCCGGTATCGTCTCCGACAAGCGCTGGCAACACTTCACCGACACCAAAGCGCAGATTGAGGAACTCAAGACTCTACTGGAGAATACCAAATTTTCATCTGCGCAATGGTCGCGCAAGGGCTTCAACACACGCGTCGACACCTCGATCCGCTCCGCTCTTGACCTACTCTGCTTAAACGGTACCGATATCGACTCTCTGATTCCGCACATCGAGTCACCCACTGGCACCGTCTACACTCCGGCCTCGTTCCCTCCTGAGATCAAAGAGCGCGTTGCCATTGAGGGCCGGTACGCACCGTACGTGAAACGGCAGGCTATCATGGCTCAGAAATTCCAACGGGAAGAGAATTTACATCTTCCACCCGACTTGGATTATTCCAAGGTTCACGGCCTCAGCACCGAAGAGCGACAAGCTCTTGAACGTGTCCGGCCAGAGAGCGTGGGCATGGCAAGGCGGATTGAAGGAGTCACGCCTGCCGGTGCGCTGAGATTGCTGATGCACGTACGTAAGATGGGAAGATCAGCGGGAGAGTCCCCGAGTCAGAATAATACCATGATCCAGGACGAAGCAGAAGCCACCAGGGAGCGCACCTCTTCGCTCTGAGATCGTGGCACGCCCTCTTCTTGTTGTGCAATTCTTGTAGCAATGATACCCCTCTCACCTTGTTTTGTTACAGTCTCCTTCAATTTTTTCGAAGCTGTATTGCATATCTGGAACGGAGCAATGCATAGCAACGCAACACTATATCAATGGGCCGGTCGGCGTCAGGAGTCAACGGAACTGAGTACCACATCCGAAAAGGGGGAAAAAATGATTCATCTGATTACTGTACAATAAAATAAAATAGCCATGCAATGTAATAAACGGTCAATTTTTGTGCCAAGGGAAGTATTTTTCTCTATTTTGTTTATTATATATATGCCGTGTTTTGGTATATATAGTTGTACAGTACAAACTCCACACCCACATCTACACCTAGGCATACACGACTATAAACTCCGAAAAGTCGAAGACACAAGATAATAACTGATTTTAAAAAAGATCAAATGAAATAATGCTCTCTATATTAACAAATACACGCGATTGAAAAAAAAAAGTTTCCGTCCGAGTCCACTCAGGCCTCTCTCTACGTCTAGAGTTAGGACATACGACCAAGTCGAGTCGAGAGCTTTAAAAGGTCAGCGCTTTCTTCTCGCTGCCTCAGCGCGAGCAATCCTTTCCTGAATTTCCTTTTTTGTGAGGATCTTGACCGCGTCTTTGGAGAAGACGTAGCTGAGTCCGGACCAGATTGTGGTTATGGCGACGAGGTATCTATCACACAGTCAGGACGAATCAAGAAAAGAGAAGAAAAAAGGGGAAAAATGAAGACAATGAAGTGAAAGAATCTGATAGGGGATCAAAAAAAGACCACGGGAGAGAAAATAAAAAACATGCAGCAGCTGGGATTCGCTGGTAGTCACCCACCCAACTACTAACCAGCCGGCGTGTGGCTTAAGTACGGCTGAGCGGACGGGAAGCCCTGTTTTCCACACCCTATGGCCGCATGTACTAGGGTTTTTCTGCAAAGTGCTTAAATGGCAGGGTAGAGTGTCCAAACTTCTCACAATGCATGCGCATGCAAGAATTGCCCCCCGCGGCGGGTGCGCCCCGGGGGGGAGGGGGGGGTTTCGGGTCTGGGGAAGAAAGCGAAAAAAAAATCGACTTACTGTAATCCTATCATGCCATCGCTCAGACCCCATGCACCCGACAGCCAATCAGGAACGACAGGCAGGGCCATAGAAGATCCCACGAGGAGGAGCTGGAGAGCGGTATTCACTTTGGAGATCCCCGTAGGCTTCACCTCAGCGGACGGAAGCGAAAAGTCCCAGTATCGGGCCATGGTCTTGGGTGGTGGTAGAGAGATCCACCGATAATAGATTGCCGAGATACTCAAACCAATATCTCGTCCTAGGATAAGAACAGCCAGCCAGACTACCATAGTTATAAAGGTTAGCCTTCTACAGGTTGAATGTTTCCAGGAAAATGACTACTAACCCGGCATCGATCCATTCAACGCTAAGCACACGACGCTAATCGTCATGAGCAATTTGTCGGCTGCAGGGTCAATGATCGTCCCGACGACAGTCTGAAGGTTGTATCGTCGCGCAATATATCCGTCGATAAGGTCCGTAATCCCGGCATAGGCGAATAATGATAATGCAGCAACGTGATAATTGTTAACGAGTAAATATCCGACGATCGGAGCAGCAGCGAGGCGCGAGAAGGTCAAAATGTTTGGCACGGTGTAAATATTTTCATGCAGCGACGCAGGGAGTCGGGAAAGCAATCGAGGCTTCGATTTGGAACTGCTTTGGACGCTACTACTTATCAATAAAATCCACAACGAGGTAATGAATAGAGCCTACTTTTCTGGTGATTTTTTCTCTTCTTCAGATTTGTTTGTCGCTGTCCCTCTTCGTTGCTGGATTGGAAGAATGGCCCTTATTGAACCAACACTTCTATCCCGATAGGACCGGATCATGGAATCTCTGGGTAGAAAATCATTAATAAATGTCCATTGAATGTCATTTCTCCTGAAGGACCGTATAGGAAGCGAATTATACCTGATTTTCAACCGATTATAACTTGAGACATGGTGAATGGTCGCGATCGATGGGACTCCATGCCGAGATTTAGAAGGAAAAACCAGGAAGTCCGGACTCGACATCATCAATGCGTTCTGGTTTCTTCGTAATATCCTCAGACTTTGCCGTGACGCACATATTGATGCCGAGCACGAGAAAAGCGCAGTTGCCGCAGCCATGCCCAAAGATTTCGCTGAATGATAAAACGAACGAGAATGAAGTCAACAACACTGACGCCTCGAAATGCCCTAACGCGTTGTAGTGTTTAACAAGCAAACTGGTAATGGTATCTCAACACATGGAAATTAACATAACGTCAAGGAATAAAGTCAAGAATAGATGATAAGGTGTGTAGGGCAGTGATCAGCTGTCCAATTCACTGTACTTCAATGTACACGAGATGCTTGAACAAGATGATCAAATCCCAAAAAAGAAAAAACGAATGCTTTTGATGTCAGAAAATTTTCAGATATAAATAAGAATTAACTCCGAAACACGATATATCTGGAAATAGAGCAGCGAGGCATCAACGGAGTAGCATCAACAATTCCTCGCTGATGACCTCGGATATAAAAGGAAACGTAAAAGTGGTAAGAAATGGGCTAGGGAGTCCCGTTCAAAAACAACAAAATTAAGATTCAATGACTAGCCATTCCAATGCTAGTGGCCATGCACGAAATTATTTGACGTGGTATAGCAATAGTAGTAAGTTTCGCTGTCGAGGAAAGGAAAAAGCCGGGACTGCAAGGAACGCGGTCTCGGCGTCGGGCCTTTTTATGGAGGCACGTGACTTGTAACTATATAGGAAAAGGGTCAACATGCACTGAAGCAGTAAGCACGAGAATCATGAACATCCATCAATACGCAGACTGCTAGAATTTTATAAAGCAACAAGAAGTTTGAGAACAGCCTTTTTGTCCAGCGGTTGTGGGAGACCCAATTGTCGAAAAACTTACCATGATCCGCAGGAATTCAAAGAAAGCTTAATAAAATACCGCCTTTCTTCAGAATGACAAGATCTGAAGATTCCTTAATTATGTAATACCACCCAGACGCAGCAGGCCATCTTATAAGGGCTACAGGTTGTATGTATGTACTGTGCATATACAATGGTCACATAAGAAATACCATGATCTAGTTTCGGGTGTCATATTCCTTAGTCGAGAATCAGTATTCGATAAATAGCATAATTGTCCGGCACATGACATCAACCAAGTCCGTAGTGGTGTAGTGGTTAACATCGCTGTCTCTCATCCCGTAGTGAGGGCACAGCAGCCCGGGGTTCGATTCCCCGCTACGGAAGAAATTTGTTTGATTTTTTCTCGTCTTTTTTTTTTGACAATCCTATGGGCTCCCTATCGAACGGCACAATCCAGCGATAAGACCGCTACCATCTCTGTTGGAACAACTCGGCAGTGCCACATAATCCTTACATTATTTTTTAAGTACTGTACTCCGTGCAAGGCGCACATACTCCGTAAATTGAATTTGTAAGACTACGCGAGCCTTACTGGAATAGGTATAGGCTTCCTGCACACCAGAACACCAAAGGCTGACTGCCCTGCAGCCCTGCCTCAAATGACCACCGGCTATATTTGCAACCAGAAGACGTGGTAGGACAGGTTGTAATGCCGGAGTAGCTCTTTTAGGTTATCTGACATTCAGTAAGCATTGGTTGTCTTTTCAGATAACTTGTTTGTTTCCATTCGGATGTCAACAGCCAATTCCTAGCATGGGGGATCAAATGTAGCTGAGCCTGTGGCGAAAGTCCTTGGAAGAGATCCTCCTTAATAGAGCACAGCTAGAGCACGGTCCTCCAACAAAGGCGCCGGGCTAGCTCAATCGGTAGAGCGTGTGGCTCTTAGTCACTGCAAACGCAGTGATAATGGGTCTACCACAAGGTTGCGGGTTCGACCCCCGCGTTCGGCTGTTCCTAATAAGACCTTGGGTTGCGCCTTCTTTTTTTTTGCCCCTTCTTTCGGGAAACATGGTCTTTTTATGGCTCTAATAATGCTAAGGCCTTTTTTTTGGAAACGGGATGAAGTATCAGTTGCTCATTATCAAAAACTAATTATCTTCCTATAAAAATTCTTCCACGAGGACAATTGTCTTGTCACACCATAGCAGAGTTTATATCATTATACTGGCGAGTAACAGTGTAACAGTCCCTCCGATCGACTCTGAAATTTGAGCACCGCCCCAAGTCCGGGCTTCATCACTTATTGACAGGAAATCGTGGTCTACGAACTGCATTGTCCTTATCATAAAATAGCCGTAGTAATGCGTTGTGCTGTCAATCAAGTGTGTGTAAGGAACGATGTTCCTTCTAAACTACCTACCTACCTAGGTAGGTAGCTACGGACAGTCCTTGATGTAATAAAAGGACAGTCCACGTCCTTCAATGATGAACCTTACACACATGATGGGGTGGAGGATCGAACTTCGTACATAAGGTGCGCCCGTCGATGTCGCTCACACGGCACGTGGACCGTGGTTCATTGTTGAATGGTAAAATAACCTTGACTGCAGCGGGATGACGTCTTAATGGGTTCGAAGATAATAATTTATTTTAGAATCAGAAAAAGTCTATATGGTTGGGAGTTGGGATAAAGCCAAAAGTTTAAGTGCCACGGAAGGGCACATGCGGAGTACAAGTATAGTACAGTAGTACATACATACACTAAGGGAAGAAATGGCGTCATGATGAATGACATGCATTATGCTAAAATAGTGCATGTTGTTCTCGTCACTCGTGAAGTGTATTGGAAAAGTGCCCAGAAAAGGGGGGGAAGAAAGAAAGAGCAATAAAGCAAAAAATGAAAAAGAAAACACAACATGCTGCTGGGAAGAAAAAAAAGAGGCGCTGCCAAGGTTTTTTTAGGAATAGCCGAACGCGGGGGTCGAACCCGCAACCTTGTGGTAGACCCATTATCACTGCGTTTGCAGTGACTAAGAGCCACACGCTCTACCGATTGAGCTAGCCCGGCGCCTTGATATCATCCGTTGTCGACTTTTGAATCTATATTTTGGGATAGTAGTTTTCCTTGCAAATTGCTTACCTATCTGCTCGCACAGCAGTGCTAGAACAGTCATCTTCACTCAACCTTACGGATCGGGGATTGTCTGTCTGAAAATTTTAGTATAAAGTAGCAAGTTAACGTCTGATGTAAGTATAAATCGCTGGAATTCTTTGAGCTAACCCGTTGCCTCCTGCTTGAGGCCACAGTGAAGGAAGAATCAACGAAGTTGCAAATATATATAATTCTTCCTAGTCCACGCTACATGCACAACATCTCTCACTCCTACTACTAACATGTCACCATCATGTCTTCCCCCTTCTGTCTTACTCTTGCAGGACATGTTTGGACTTGAATTTTCACCTGCATCAGGACTTCTACCAGTGAATCGTTGCAGTGACTCGTCTACGATGAAAAAAAAATCTGGCCCAAGATAACATCATATAGACAGCCCTTCCTTTCACTTTCAAGACAGGTTATTTCTCTGCCTTGAACCTCGTCCACCTCTGGATCCCTTCGTTCAGACATTACGAAAGTCCCGAATACTACTGAAATCCACCTCCAACCAACGGTCTCGCCCTAAACGATACGACTCCGCCTACGCACGTAGGTAGTCTTCTGCCAGCGTAGGCATCAACAAAAAATCTTCCAGAATCTTTACATCGGCTCCATCTCTCTCATTTATCGCCGGCAATCCGATGCCGGCGCCAAAATGGCACAGCGAGATGCATTAAATGCAGGACTCCCAAGTCTCATCCGTGACTACCGAATTCCTCCTGAGGCTCGCCATAAGTATAACAAGTTTTCAGACCTCAAAATCTTTCTAGAAGAGAGATTTAAGAAATTCGTTGAGCATGGGGCATCTCAATACGTTGCGATCCAGGAATTTAGCCTGGATGATTTGGAGGAGATGGAACGAAAAGGCCTACGTCGGCAACTACCGAGATTCAGGGCCCTGACTGACGATAAGGACAAGATAATGATCGCTAAACTTGCTGGCGTTCATCACGGGACTGTGGCTGCAACTTTCCTCTTATTTTTTTTTTCGCCGAGGAATGCGCAAGAAATAATATTCCAGTGAGGTTGTGGTCGGCCACTGGACCTGCTCGACAGACTTTGTTAAACTTAGTTCCAAGTGGTCTCTCAAAAAGAGCCTGATGGCTCTTTTAAGCCTATGACCAGAACTCAGGCTGTCGACTACCCAAGTTGGGTCGTCGAGATAGGAGACTCGGAGCGTCTAGCCCAACTTCGGTTAGACGCACGACGCTGGTTGGAGAGTACCAATGGCGAAGTGAAACTTGTCCTCGTCATTTACATTGATAGGCATGCGAAGACTTTTGCAGTTTGAGAGATGGTGCCATTGTCCCCCTGCCCGGAACACCCGCGGTGCTGCTGCTCAATCATGGCATGCTGGAAAAATTCAGGAACTCACTTACGATCACAACACCCAGCAGGTTACGGGTGCTGCACCATTGCTCCTACCAATTGATCACCTCCTCGACAATGTCCCAGGCAATATACCACCTGGAGTCTTCACCATCAGCGAGCAGAGAATACAGTATTTTGGCAGTTGGGTCTTTCAGTCGCTAAACTGAGGGGGGTGGTGTAGGTTCAATGCCTATCATGACACAAGAACACAAATAAATTCAGATCAGCTCGCGATGCGAGATGATCCATCAGTCCCTCAGCAAATGCTTAGCAGCTTTCAGACTCTGCCCACTCTTTCCTTCTTTCCAAACATGGTTCTTCATGGCAGCAACATCGATAAAGACTCGAGGTGGAGGTCCATGCATGACAGCAATATTGTATAATGTTCATATGAGTACACAACAAGCATACATACATAATTAGATGGTTAATCTTCTGGTAGACACTAGGAGTCTACCTAATCTATTTGGGGGCGACCCACTATAAATAACCCTTAATTTTCCGTCTAAATATTCTACCTATACGGAGTACATCGAGGCTTCTTAGATAGATACTAGACTCGAGGACAACAATCGGTAAGAATACCTAGAGTATAAGTAGGTAAAACTAGGTACCTACCTACCTAGGTTAGGTAGGTAAGTGGTGAGTTGGTCACCTGACTCACCCTACTCCGTACTCACCCCATTCAAGCAGCAGTCCAAGTACCTAAGTGCCTAACCTAAGGAAGGAAAGAACTATTCACAGATTTCCATTTGAACGATATTTTATTTTGACCTACCTACCTAACCAAGCAAAAATCTACAAGCACCTCGTCGACTGCGAAAAGCGCCTCATCTTGTTGACGATGCCAAGTACCTAGGACGACAGCAGATAGCTGACTCTGATCTCATATAAGGAAGGTTCGCACGTCCTTCGTGAATGGTTTGGTTCTGGTTCTTAAGATCTCCTGCGTGCTGCTTGAGCAAGCAAGAAATGACAAATCATAATTACACCCTCGAAGACAAATCATTGCCGAATACAATGTTCGAAAAGAAAAGAGTGTCAGGCGAGATACAAGAGCATGACTACTGCAGCAGCACAGGTAAATCCTTATTTTGTTTTTTTTCTTTTGCTCCCTCCCAAGTACCTAGCCCACGCTGTCCCATCTTGAAATTGAAAAGAAACATACAGTAAGTAGATAGAATCACATCGCAGAACGCAAAAAAAATAGAATATAACCGCCCCAGCCTAACCGACAGACCAGACCAAGCCATGGTTCGTAAACACATAAACCGGTAGAGTAGAAAAAAAAAATACCGAGGCGAAAAAAAAAACAGCCTCGCACCAACACCTGCAGCCCCCATACAATAAAACAGCAAAACAAGTCATTCAACTGCCTCCCGATGCTTTTTATGAGTCACAGCGAAACTGCGAAAGCGAGCCCACCGGCAAAACCGTGTCGTGGGCAAAGAAAGAAAAAAGGGAAAGAGAAAAAAAAAGACCGTCCGGAAACAAGCAAAGGCGACTCTGGGAATCATTCTGGTAATGATAAGATCGATGGGAAATGGGAACGCCATAAACCCGATGAAATGACTAAAAACTCCACCTCGTAAGCGTACTATCATCATACGACACACCACACCAGCCTTAAATCTGCGGCTGGGCTGGTGCGGTGGTGGTCCAGGCCGAAATTGGCTGTGCAGTGGGATAATTCGAATGAGTTGCCGCTCCCACGTAGTAGTTCTGTCGATCGCCAGTGCCGTAATAGGACGGAGCAATCGGATTGGAGTCCCGTCGAGGGACCGTCGGATCAAACGATGTGGAGGCCATACCGCGTTGGTCGAGAGATTGATTCGAACTGCCATCCAATGTCCCCGAGATGCTGAAGCTGCCTCGTGAATACGTCGCCGCGGACGTCGACGGGTCGGTATCGGTAGGAAGAGTACGAGAGGTCAGGGACGGATTTCGGTAGATGGTAGGGCTGCTGGTCTGCTGAGATCGATTCCGATCATTCATGGAATTGGGAACGGTGGTGGTGTTTAACGTCGGTGGAATGGTCGTGGGTAGATGATTCTGGTTCAGTGAGTCGAAACCCGTGCCATACGGTCCCGTGCGGAATGCCGAGTTCTCTGCTTCCGCTTTCACAGGCAACTGGGAGGAGCCTGATGGAGCTGGAAGATACGCATTCGACGCCGACTGGGGCGGCAATGCTCCGCTCGGATATGTCAATGCACCCGGTTGAGATGGATGTGTCCCATACGGCGCGCTGTGCATGTAGTAGTCCGGATGGGGACTGGGCAATCCGTAACTCGGAGGGGGAACCAGAGCATGACGATAGTAGAGCGCATTGGTGGGATCGTTGGGATTTTCCAGGGCGGACTCCAGGTCATCGATGGGGGCGCGGAAACTTTGCTTGGAGGTGAGCTCCGCGCGCGGCCGGATGTATCGCAACGACTCGACCATCGAGGGGGGACTCAAGACGCCTTTCAGCACATCCTCGACACTGTAGTAGGAGACCAGGTGGTGAGTCACTCCCGAGACCGTTACACTCATCGTTTTCTTCACCAGCCCGGAGTCCTTGAATCCGTACGAATCGACGAGAGAACCGACCAGCGCTCGCTCGACTTCGGAGGAGGGGCGGTCCCCAAAGGGACCCGACGAGGAGGTAGAGGGGGAGTAGGAGGACTGGCCGTTGCTGTCTGGTCGCGGATACGGTTCTCCCGGTCGGGTCGACTGGCCCGGTCGCCGACTGCCCTTCTTCATCGCCCGTTTCTTCTCGCCCGGGGGAAACGGCTTATCGAGCTCGCGATAGACCAGAAAGTTGCCCAGGATGCGGCTGGGGCTCCAGGTCACGCCGTCGGTCCATCGCTTGATGCCGGAGGAGTTCTCCTCGTAGATGAACACGCTGCCGCTGCGCACGAGGTGACTGCGTTCGCGATCATGAGGCCGGCGGGGGACATGATGGAGCACGCCGGTGAGGCAGGCCTCGAACAGAATCAGGGCATCATGCGTCGTCGCAACGTATCCCGTATACGTCGGCTCCAAGACCGCTGTCGTGCCGTTGACCATTGTCCACGACGGTCGGTTGGAACCTAAAAGTCAGGCGCGCGAGAGAGACGGGGAGAGGAAGAGAAGGGAGGAAGGCGGCAGCAGCAGGGTTTGACAAGGTGAAGGCAAGGTTTCGACTGTTTATGATGGGCGGGAAGGGGGAATACTTAATAACAAACTCTCCGGAGCTTTTTTTGACGCCGATTAGTTCGGGGGAGGAGGAGGAGGAGGAGGAGGAGGTAGGGGTAGGGGGGGGGGGG